ACATGGCTATTCAATGATTTGGAAAATAAAAGAAAGAAGTTCATTGCTGCAGTGAATCATATATTAAGGAAACAGACAGTATATATTCCGTACAGTCGTTTAAACCAAACTGAAGACTGATCTTATTAAGTATAATACAAGTATATATATATATATATGACCGGTTTAGCTCAGTGTGATCCAACTGACAGCTGCAATGAATACAGTTCGTAATGAGACGTCAGAACCTGGTAACATGATATATCCCCCTCCTCCTCCCCCTCTTCTCTTGTTATTCTTAGTTCCGTATTCTTAACCCTCTCCCTTCCCTTTCCTGCTTATATCCTTACATTCTTATCCCCGCTCCAACCTATTCTTGTATAGTATATAGCTTGTTTTACCTCTCTATCTTTCTATTTATATTTTTGTGATTATAGTTGTAAAGTTAAAAGAATTGAGTCTTTGCCACCTACTCTGATTTTCTAAGCCCGATATCTTTGCAACTGATTGTCATATGTCAAACTATGAATTCTGTTAAAATATCAAAGGTTTACACAATCAGGTTGAAAAGATATAAAGATTATTATCCTCATTATGTTTTCATATATCCATCCAATCCCTTTCCCCATAAAAACTCTTTGTTTCCTTCTCCCCTTTATCTAGTAAACAGCCCTCTCATTCATTAACTTCCCCTTCATTTCCTTCCATTTCCTATATTTAATCCTTTATTCTTTTTCTATTTGTCCGCCTTCCTTCCTCTCCATTTTTCCTAACTTCTATTCTACCTTTTTATCTTACTTTTATCAAAAAATCTATGTTTGAAATATCAAAGGTTTACACTATCAGGTTGCGAAGATATAAGAATTTGAAAATTTTACTTCGTGACAAAGACTCAATTCCTGGGCCCAATATGTTTTCATAGTTTGACAGTTCTTTTCATTAACTTCATTACCAGGTTCATGTTTACATTATTGTTCAGAAAATAAAAAGTCATTTTACCGAAATGCCATAGTGCTTTGCGAGAAAAATGGCAGCCCATGCTTGTTCCAGCCGCCGCAGCTCTAAATAACTCTAAATAATGTATGACAAATATTATTTAGGACTAAGGCACCAAAGGTTGAAAGAGAGGCCAAGCGTTGTGGTTGGAATCTGTCGAACGCTGCGACTACGGTTTCATTTTTTCATGTGTACAGGCAATGTTTTCTCTAGCACCTTATTGTCATTTGTATGGCAAAGATTGTGTGCTGGATGCTCCCTATCCTATCTCCGTATATATGATCCCCTATATTCCCATTTCCTTGTTAACGACTGTTTCTACTTAAGCCTAATAGGTCTGTAGGCTATATAACAAGAGAAAAATCAATACAATCGAAAATATACAGGGTGGAGCGAATTAAGAAAACGTGTTTCTACTCACCCTAATATTTATGATACTTCTCAATATACTCTAATCGATCAGATTTTATAATTGGAATATTTACAATCTATATATTGATATGATTCATCTTTCATATATCTAAATATATATATGATACTTATATTCAAATTAACGTTCACCCCCCCCCCCCNCCAACCGGTCCTTGCCTCGCCTGGAATGTAAATTTAAATTTTTATCAGGAAAGATATCATAAAGCTAAACTTTTCCTTTCATTTTATCTTTTAAAAGTTTAAAATTTTTCTGAAGAGAAAGGAATTGCGTCTTTTCCAAAAAACTCAAGTTTTCTAATCCTCTTTCCTTTTTTTCTTTTTCAATTACTTTCTTATACTTTTACTTGGTTCCATTATACAATTATTATCGATATCTGTTTATTATGATATCTGTTGATTTCTGGTTAACAATACGGGATTGTCTGTTTGTTTGTTTATTTGTTTGTTTGTTTGTGTGTATATGGTTGGGTGAATATTGGGTAACATTCTTTTATATAAAGGAACTATAGAAACCCATAAATCTTGGATGTACTGTTGGAAAAAAATTGTTAGATTGTAAAAAAGATGCAGCATGGAGTCTTTTTTTTCTCTTTTGGAATGTTCCGAAGTTTTATGTTATAAAGACAGAAATTATCTAATAAAAACTGTACATATTGTCCAGCACATTGTACATATTCACTTTATTATGTACATGAATAGAGGAGAAGGATTTCCCTAGTGTATCATATATAATACATAATTTCCCCAACTTTTTGTATAATTATGAAGAATGGACGGACAGTAGTTAATATATTCAAAAATATAATATAAAAAGATTGGCTAGGACAGGATTGAGGGAGTTGAGGGGAAGGTCTAGGGGGTGGTGGTGGAGGGCCGTAGGATAAGGGAGGCAAGGTTCTGAGGGGGTGGTGGGAGGTTTAGGGAGGGAAGGTCTAGGGGGCCAGGAATGATGGAATTCAGACATTATTAGAAAAAAATATTTGAAAAATGCGCGGTTCATCTTTCGAATTCCTAACGAAATTTATTTTTATTCAATTTGCCTATTCAATTAAGGTAAAAAGTTTAAAATTTAAATCTAAATGATAATTTCGAAAATATTTTTTTAACATTTAAGTTTGGCAATAAGTCGGAGTCCGAGTTATCATTCGAACTCTCCAAATTTAGCAAACTTGATAATAAAAAAAGTTTTTAAATATTTGATTAATCTGTCAAATTGTGACAAATTAAAGCTAAAAGACTTGTAGGCGTTTTAAGAAAATTTATGGATATTTTAGACCTTAAACTCCTTCGTTTATTTAATTTTGTTTTCAAAATCTTTTTTTCTCATGAATGATTTAAATAGCTAATATAAACATGTTCATGATACGAGATGTTTCTGACAGAAACTGTTAATTTGAAATGATATTTATAAATTTTAACCTATCATTCAATTATGTATTTAAAATATTCAAATTGTAAAAGTCATTTCAGCTAAAATATAAGTAAAGAATGAAAAAGAGAATAAAAAAATGAAAACTGTATAATTGTTTATAATAAAGAGAAGAATTCAAAATGCAAGTGATAAAATGAGCTTGAAGGAACTGAGTTTATAGACCTTTGATATTTCAAACTATAACTTCTGTTAGATAAAATAGTCTAGGGTTGATATTTCAAACTATAACATCTGTTAGATAAAATAGTTTAGGGTTGATATTTCAAACTATAACTTCTGTTAGATAAAATAGTTTAGGGTTGATATTTCAAACTATAACATCTGTTAGATCAAATAGTCTATAGTTGATATTTCAATTGCCTCGCCTGGAATGTAAATTTAAATTTTTATCAGGAAAGATATCATAAAGCTAAACTTTTCCTTTCATTTTATCTTTTAAAAGTTTAAAATTTTTCTGAAGAGAAAGGAATTGCGTCTTTTCCAAAAAACTCAAGTTTTCTAATCCTCTTTCCTTTTTTTCTTTTTCAATTACTTTCTTATACTTTTACTTGGTTCCATTATACAATTATTATCGATATCTGTTTATTATGATATCTGTTGATTTCTGGTTAACAATACGGGATTGTCTGTTTGTTTGTTTATTTGTTTGTTTGTTTGTGTGTATATGGTTGGGTGAATATTGGGTAACATTCTTTTATATAAAGGAACTATAGAAACCCATAAATCTTGGATGTACTGTTGGAAAAAAATTGTTAGATTGTAAAAAAGATGCAGCATGGAGTCTTTTTTTTCTCTTTTGGAATGTTCCGAAGTTTTATGTTATAAAGACAGAAATTATCTAATAAAAACTGTACATATTGTCCAGCACATTGTACATATTCACTTTATTATGTACATGAATAGAGGGGAAGGATTTCCCTAGTGTATCATATATAATACATAATTTCCCCAACTTTTTGTATAATTATGAAGAATGGACGGACAGTAGTTAATATATTCAAAAATATAATATAAAAAGATTGGCTAGGACAGGATTGAGGGAGTTGAGGGGAAGGTCTAGGGGGTGGTGGTGGAGGGCCGTAGGATAAGGGAGGCAAGGTTTAGAGGGGNTAGATCAAATAGTCTAGGGTTGATATTTCATACTATAACATCTGTTAGATCAAATAGTCTACAGTTGATATTTCAAACTATAACTTCTGTTAGATCAAATAGTTTAAAGTTGATATTTCAAACTATAACTTCTGTTAGATAAAATAGTCTACAGTTGATATTTCAAACTATAACATCTGTTAGATCAAATAGTCTACAGTTGATATTTCAAACTATAACATCTGTTAGATCAAATAGTCTACAGTTGATATTTCAAACTATAACTTCTGTTAGATAAAATAGTTTACAGTTGATATTTCTAACTATAACTTCTGTTAGATAAAATAGTTTACAGTTGATATTTCAAACTATAACTTCTGTTAGATCAAATAGTCTAGGGTTAATATTTCAAACTATAACATCTGTTAGATCAAATAGTCTATGGTTTAAATGTCGAAAGTTGTAAAGATATAGAAATATCAGAAATAGAGTTTGTGGCGAGTATTTAATTCCATTAAAAAATGAATTCTGAAGGTTAAAATGAGTTCTGAGCTTGAGCTTCTTGAATTGTCCTGGTAAAGTGAACTGACACATGATAAATGCATTATGTCTAGGCACTGCATTCATGCCGGCCTACTGCCTAGTTAACACCCCATATTTAAAATATCCTTGAAATTGTAAATTGTCTCTGTCATTTTAGCTTTTATACTTTCATTAGTTATTTTTCTTTTTTCATCGCTCATCTTCTTTTAATCCTTCATTCCCTCTGATAGTTTTTGATTTTTTAGTTTATATTTTTTTTTTTGGCTTAGCTCTGCTTTTTCCTCAACTTTATGTCTGTACTTTCTTATATAAACCCACACCCCGACACTCAGTTCTAATATCTAAATAAATAAATAGAATGTTTGTTATTCTAATCTTTTTATACACATAAGTACCCCCAGTCAGGTCAGAAATCAATCCTTATGTTTTTCTAATTATTTTATCAAAGATTTACTAAGAAAATATGTCCAACATTATTATAAAATGAAATATAAATATTTGCATTTATTGAATGATGTTTACATTTCAGGTTTGAAGATGATTGAGAAACTATCCAGAGACTAGTGTATAGTCTTCAGTATGGAGAGGTTTCCGTCCTTACTCTTATTCTCTCTTCTGCTGGCCTGTCTCCAGACTGCCTTAGCTATAGGTAGGTTTCCTGCAGTGGATTTATAGAATGGATAAGGAGGGTATTAAATGTTTTATCCTTTTATCTTTATGTTTAATCTTTTCTTAAACCTATCTTTCCGCAGTTTTTCATTCCTTCATTGTTTTTTGGATAAAAATCCCCTGAATCGTTAAGCCGTTGGTTAAAAACATCCTGCGTAACTTTAAACTCTCTTAATCCTTTCACCCTGTTGTTTCTCATACCCTGAGACTCCAATCTGAGATAGAATAATCCTGCGGAATAATACTATTATGGGAATAGAATTATTAATATTAAGATCCAATCCAACTCAATACTATCTATCCTATCTATCCTATCTATCCCATCTATCCTATCTATCCTATATATATTATCTATCCTATATATCCTATCTATCTATGATATCTCATATCTCCCATGTTTCCTATATCAACTTATCCGTCCAGTTTTATCTTATCCACCCCTTTCTGTCTTATAAATCACATTGTATCCATCCTTTTCTCCTATTCTACCCATCCTATTCATCAATCCATCCTTTTCTATCTTAACTATATTTTTCATTATTTATCCTTTTCTTCTAATATCTTATTCTATTTTCTAACTATTCTATCATATTTATTATCTTTCTCTATCTTATATTCATCGTACTTACCTACTTCAATTGCAAAAACTGAATATGCTTTAATTTTTTTAGTTCAAAGTCCTCCGTATATGGTAAAGCAGCCTCCGAACACTGAGCTCCTGTTCAAGGTTAAGACCAGAGAAGATGAGAATGATAAACCTTTTATCATTGAATGCGAGGCTGAAGGAGAACCCTATCCACAGTAAGATATTATCATTCTCTGTTATTATCAATATTTACCATTTTTTTTGCAAAAAGCAGAAAAAATCTTGTTTACTTAATTTATAATTAATTTTCTGTCCTCGTCCACAAATAATAAATCACTCTGTTAAAAACACATTAATTTTATACTGATCACTTTTTAACATTATTTATGACGTGAGTGTTTTATTTACTCTTAGTATCTGTGTAAACAGAGCTAATGGTTCACGGTCATTAAAGGGAAACATGAAGAAAATGTTTTATATTTTTACTCAACTCTACTGAGAAATCTAAACAGAACCCGATATTTTTGTGTGGACGATTATAAAGTATTAAATTGTGTGTCCCNTAAACTTAATCTTTACATTAACGTCTCTAAATCCAATTTTACCAGAACTATAATAATTATCAAATCTACAACTCTTTTAGTTTTAATGCACAATCTTTATTCTTTTAAACATAAGATTATACTTTTTTCTTTCATTTTTTTACATTCAGTGTTTTCTGGCTTCTTGACATATTTAAAAATTGTATAAACCATGCTAAATGTTAACTTCGATATTTCCTTGTTGAGAACGACTGGTTTTGACTCGTTCAGGCTTATGTAAGAGAAAATTTCACAGAAGCAAACTTGTACAGAATACAGTTTTGAATTGAAAAAAAAATCCTAATCCTGACTAGTTCTTGATGTAGACATGTTCAGGTATTCTGATTCTGACTATAGTGACTAGTTTTTAATGTAGACATGTTCAGGTATCGGTGGCAAAAGAACGGAAAAGATTTCAACTGGCAGGTTTATGATAACAGAATAACTCAGCAGCCTGGTCGAGGATCTCTGGTGATCACGAACCCCCAGGCTGAGGATACAGGTAGGAGTTCAACCCGGGTTTACACTGGCAGATTTTAGCTGCCATTTTGTTTTATTCTTTGGAGGAATGTATTGTGTCATTTTATCAGATCCATGTTTAACAATCATTTAGAGGTTCGAAACTTATTAACTCTTAAAATAAAAATAGAAATCATCCATCATCATTATTTGAGGGTTTAGTCTCCTCATTAAGATTCTCATATATCTCTCCAGGTTTTACCTCACACTGATCCCATCAATTTATTCCAATCAATTCGATTCAAGATCTGGCTAACCTAAACGCAAAAAGTTAAAATATTCAAAAGAAGAAGCTTTAGAATTTAAAGTTTTTGTTGTTAAAGCTTAGATTACTTTATTTAGTTGAAAAGTAAACATAATTTTAAAATTAGAAGTTTTAAACAAATATATCGGGGGAATATAATTAAAGCTATATTTCTCTACTGTGAAAATGGCAAAAACAAAAACCGAATTTGGTGGGAAAATTCATGGTAACATTCGCCTAACCCTGTGTACACTGTACAGGAGGAAAGTTGTTCAATTGGCGGCAGTTAGAAGGTAATCGGTCTGCTCCTAACAATTTGTTTTCAGATGAACTAACAAAAAAGTACATTTAGGACGCATTTTTACGCGAGCCTTCTGGTTATTTCTGTGTGATTTTTCTCACTAAAAATACAGGACAGATGTGTGAGAGAGGTTTAGATACAAATCGGATACAGGGGATACACCCCAAACCTTGTCTTAGTCTGCTTCAAGTTAAGGAACGAAAATTAGACAACCTTGAATTAAAAATATTTAAACCTTTTTTGTCGAAAAAAACGCTTAGTTTTATCTAATATATTTAGATGTACATTGTAAAAACATGGTTTTTGCATGTTTAAATTTTGAAATATTAATTCCTTCTAATCCTCTTAGTTGAAAACAATCTGAGGTATCTTCTTTTAAATAAGCAGATTAAGAATAAAAAGATATTTTTTTTTAATCTCTTTCGTTACATAACCTTCCTACTTCGGATTTGTTTGAATGTTTAATTCTAGTTTTTATCTCCTCTCCTTGTATTCAACATGTATTTCTATAGCTTCCATTAAAGTTAAAGGTTTAGGTTAGTTTTGTACCATATAGGGTCGGTTCCTACGTTCTCAAATTTTAAGGGGGGGGATTCCCCTGGTCCAGCTGTTGTATTGTTTCATTAGTTGCAAACTTTATCTAGTTCTCCAGCAACTAGTGTTCCAATCTGTCCAAGCTCAAAAAGCAAAAAACTTTTTGATTTACAATAATATTGTGTTTTGTACACACTTTGCTTAATTATATCTTATTAACTAAGTAAATAAGTGATTAATTATTTCTAAACATCTGTGTCAATATTTGTTCCAAGGATTATATTGGTTGTGTGTTCAACATATTTTATTAAAAAAAATCACAGAAATTATTTCTCAGAAACTTATTGACATTTTGATGGATTTCAACAGTAAGGTCTAACGAGCTCATTAGTTTTCAAAAAATCTCCAGAGGAATTCAATCTTTGCCACAAACTCTGATTTTAAAGTCCGGATATCTTTGCAACCAAATGTCGTAGACCTTACATATTTCAAACTTTGATGTCTGCTAGGTCAAAAAATCTATGTTTGAAATATCAAAGGTTTACACCAACAGGTCGCAAAGATACAGGGATTAGAAATTAGAGTTTGTGGCAAAGGCTTAATTCCTTTTTATGTAATATATATATTATGCACATATATATTCTGGGATATATGAAGTTTAAACTCAATGTTTGACACCAGGGGTGTTGATAAAAAAAGATAAAAATCGATCTATGTATTTAAGTCCTGAACCCTAGATTTAAGCTCGACTTTATCATTATAAACTTGGATTCAGTTCATATCGGATCCTGATCGAATTCATGAAAATCAGCAGGGTTCAATGTTGAAGTAATCCTACCCCTTTCCTTCCACCCAACCCTTATCCTAAACCTAACTCAGCTAATCCAACCCTATCAATATCTGACACATGTTGTGTTAGACTTTCAATAGTAGGCAATATGAAGAGGCAGGTGCTGGAGTGTGCTTTACTTATTGTCTTTTTTGTGTTTTAGAGTTTGTTTACTTATAGTCTAGTTTTCCCCTATTAAAAAAAAAGAATTTTTCTAAATTGAAAGGAAAATTTTTCAAAGGTTTAAAGATAATTTTTTCCAAGTAAACAAATTTTAATGGGAAATTGTTATCATTAGAAAAAATTATATTTGAAAAAAAAATTTTTTAAGTAAAGATGTATATTTTCTTTTTTATTTATACTATTTATATTATATATCTATCTATCATACTATTAAAGTATATTTTGATTTTCATATGAGTTCAACCTTGCTGTATTAAAGATACGAACACGTATGTTAGGACCAAGTTCTATAATCAGCAAGATCTGTTTAAAGATTACACTTAAGGATGGAACAAACTAGTTCTCTAGTTTCAGAGAGACGATTTCTCTCAATCCTCCTCATCCAACCATCATTTGACGCCGAAACTAGTTTTTTTTTCTCCAAATAAAACCTGGAAATAGATCAAAAAATAAATGCTAATAATTTCAAAACATTCTTTTTACAAAAGTTGTACTAAAGGACGCGAGTTTCAAAACAATCTAATTTTGCTAATTCCAAGAATATCTTATAGATTAGAACTCCATATATCTTTCAGCTTCAAATATATCATTTTTCAATGCAGAATAATATTTTGAATTAATTGTTTTGATAATTTATAAAACGTATTTAAAAATGCAAAGCTTTATGTCAGATTGATTTCATCAATCGTGAGTGAATAATTACAATATTATTTACAATTTTCAGAATGCATATTACGTTGATTTTTGGCTACCCTCTGTGTTCTTATCACGTGTGCCAAAGATCTGGACTTGTGTCAGCAATTGTTTTTTTCATGTCAAATATATGTAAATAAATTTTCTTTTAAAGGCATTGAGTCTTTGCCACAAACTTTGATTTTTGGATCCCAATATCTTTGCAACCCAATGTCGTAGACCCTTGATATTTCAAAAATGAATCATGTAAGACCAAATAATCTAAGTTTGAAATATCAAAGGTTTATATATCTTTAGGTTGAAAATATATAGAGATTAGAAAATTTGAGCTTGTGGCAAAAACTCGATTCCTTTTTATTACTTTATATTAATATATATTAAAAAGTATTTAAAATATATCGAGTGTGGAGGACATTTTGTGGATCTTTCTTTGATAGAAAATCAAAATTTTAGTCTCGACTGTTTTCCAGAATAAATCTCATTCCCATTTTTCTGATTTCAAGATCCTTGAATAACTGATCTCCTGCAGACGCAAAGTTTCTAATTTTTATTTATCAACTTATAAAATCTTCTCAATTGCTCTGGGAGGTTTTAGGTTTCACAATGTATATATATTTTCCTAGAAAAAAACCAAAATGAGAATATAATATTTTAGTTTTAAGTTTTAAATTTTACCAAATTATTACTAGAAATTCTTCGCTTTTGTAAGAAAGTTGTTTGACAGAAACCCGACACATTATTCTTTTTTGTCTCTGAACAAACTAATTCTACAGAGGAGGGGGGTGGAGCAGTAATTTGAAAGAATGAATGAGCCACTTTAAAAGAATAACCTTGCACATAAAGGGGGTTGGAGGTATTCACTTCTTGGTAATTTCATCCATATAATAATGCACTTTTACCCTAATATTTAATAAAGAAAAGGGGGGGGGAGAGAGAAATTATTTGATCTTTTGTGTATTGCTTCTAACGTTTAATAAAGATTTAAAAATAAGGGAAATGTTTTTTGACTAAAATATGATCAATTATGTCTATGAAAAATATGAAAAATATGAAAAATATGAAAAATATTTAGATTTTGGTCAACTTTTACAGTTGTCTGAAGTCTACATTTAAAATCTACATTTTCATCCCGAAAAAAATTCTCTCGATCTAGAGAATCAGTTTTTTCTCTTCCTTTATATTGGCATATTTGCTCGGTAATAAATAATTTTAAATGTGTTTACCCGGCTTGATATGTCACATTAATCTTTTAAAAAGAATATAAAGTGGTTTAATTAATCTTAATGTTTCCACTTCAACTTTACTAAATTAAATTGGAAGGTTAGAAGAAGGAAAAATTTAACCTTTGAATGATACTTTTGAATGAATTCTTAGTTATCACACGGATACTACTCAGTACTCATGTCTTGCATTAAAAAACCAAACGGTTTTGATTTTTGCCAAAAAAAAACACATATTTAGATACAGAACCCCGGAAACACCGTTATTATAAGAAACTAAAAATTAGTAAATTTCACTAATAATCTTCTAGTGTAACTTTTTGTACCGTATGATCAATATATTTATATAATTTGTTTTGGTTTTAAAATTTTGTTAAAAATCTTTAATTTAAAATAAATTGTAAAAAACACTTTGTTTTGAAATACCTCAAAATCCGTCAGAATAACCATTTAAAATTGATCTTTAAATTCGAAGCAAAGATATATCCACGTTTGATCAATATACGCCCTAGGGTTCTCCCTACCCTGATCAGAAATCCATCCTTCCAGTATTCTTTATTGTTATCTTGATTTTTGTACCGTAATAAAAACCTTGAGCAATGGTTTGACCAGTTTTTCCTACATCTAGTTTCTCTCACTTCAACGATTCCTTGGAACAATCCTATTGTTAGGTTCAAACAAGGAGACTAGAGTTAGGATTGATAAATATAAAGTTACAGTGCAGTAGAAAACTGACTATTGTTTTCTGGTTTTCTTCCACCTTGAATATCTATCCTATATTGAATATTCTTGCTGACCTGAAATCAATATTGAATATTCTTGCTGAACTGAAATCTATCCTATATTGAATATTCTTGCTCACCTGAAATCTATCCTAAATTTAATATTCTTGCTGATCTGAAATCTATCCTATATTGAATATTCTTGCTGACCTGAAATCAATATTAAATATTCTTGCTGACCTGAAATCTATCCTATATTAAATATTCTTGCTGACCTGAAATCTATCCTATATTGAATATTCTTGCTGACCTGAAATCTATCCTATATTGAATATTCTTGCCTAACTAAAATCTCACACTTCACCTATTCATCTCTTCATCTCAGCCTAATGCCTGGAAACAACAGCTTGAGGCATATTATTAATTAAGTTCTCATAGAATTAGAAACTCAGATTCTGTTTTCAAATATTTAGTTTATTTCTCCACTTCATACAAATCTCTTGCTTCTTTTACATTCAATTTCAGTTTCCTGGGAGGAAATGAATGAAAGGCAGTATTAGGATTTTCTGTTTAAACCCGTCTCCGGGATTTGTCTGATATATTCTCAATTCTCCATATAGGTTTGGAAGCAGGATAAGATTATATTGGAAGTGAAGTGGTCATTACTGTGTAATAGGTTTCTACAGACCTCTTCTTAACCCAGATACATCTATTCACGTTCAAACCCAGGATTTATCCGTTCTTCGCAGAAATATTTAGTTTTTTCTTCTATAAAGTCCATTCTTTTACAAAGAAACTCAAATTTTCTAATACCTATATCTTTGCAACTTGATGGTACAAACCTTTGATTTTTCAAACTTAGATGTTTTGATCTAACAGAATTTATAGTTTAAAATATCTAAGGTCTAAGGACATTGGGTTGCAAAGATATAGGGATTTAAAATTAAAGTTGGTGGCAAAGGCTTAATTTATTTTTCCTGAAAGGTTGAATTTTTCGTATTTTATTTATATTTTAGTATTGTTTTAGTCAAAAAAGCTTTAATGAATGACAGTTCATGTCAACTGTGAAATATGTCTTTCAATATTTTAAATATAAAATTAACAGCTAATCGAATACTCAATAAATTTCATATAGCATATTTTGAACATTAGACTGAGGGGAGGGGTTAAAGGGGAAAAAGGGTCGAGGAGGGACAAGTTTATGCATTCCCTCGTTTCAATTTACAGACAGTCATTCCACGTAATACAGTAATATAGTAATAGAAATATCTGGCATTTTCCAGGATTGCAAGTTTCAATCTTTACCGCCATTAAATATTCAGCTTTACTCCATACAGAGCAAGGTTATAATGCAAGGAAAGTTAATTGCAGTTGCGTATGCTCTGCGTACATATTGAAACCAGTTCTCTCTCGGCGGAATTCGTGAACAAGAATGGATGCATCAGTGTTCGTTTAGTATCCGAGGAGGAAAAAAGCATTGAATTTTGAAAATTTTGATATGACCAGAATGTCAGGCTGTCCGTCTTATTCCGTCCGTGTTCTTATTACCGCCCAGAGACAGTACACTGCAGTGCAAAAGATGCGTACACCCCTGAAATAACTTTCCTTGCATTATAACCTTGATACAGAGAATCTCATGCAACAAGTTTTTAAAGTACGTTCTCATCATTGCCTTATGTTTACTTTTTGGATAATTTTGAAAATCTTCGTAATATATAAATAAATAAATGTCTTTTCATTCTTGATTTATCTTGATATTTATATAATAGTTAGTCCCTGCTTTTACCATTATTAACTAGCTTTATCTCCATTATCTTTCACCCAATCCGTCCTGGTCTGTATAATTTCCTGTCTTCATTTTTTTCTTGTCTTCTGTCTCTCTGTTATTGTTTGTCTCCGGTTATGGATAAATTTTTCAACCCTAACGTCATGTTTTTTGAATAGAATTAGTTGATTAGCTTATTCAGAGCAAACTCTGTATTCAGTGTTTAGGTATAATTTGATTTATCCTTTTGTTTTGACCCTTGTTCTTTAAGTGACTGAATTTTTTAGAAATATTTTTAAATTTTTTTATTCTTTATTTCTCTGATTTATCTTTAAATATTTTAGGAGACTACACCTGCTTCGCGACGAACGAATGGGGAACTGCTGCATCAAATACAGTCTTTGTCAGGCAGTCGACCCTCAACAGTTTCAAGGAGGAGCCTCCGAGGACTCTGAGCGTAGAGGAGGGTAACCCTATCAAGCTGCCCTGCGAGGCTCCAGCTGGTTGGCCTAAACCTAGTGTTTATTGGATGATCCAGGTACTGTAAACAGTCCTGAAGTGTTATAAATCATAAACGGAGTAAAGAAACCTTATTCGGAATTAAGAATTTCCCTCCTAAATTGTTTTATTTTCATTAAATTCTAAAGAGAAAATACTAGAGCTAGAATTAAAAATGGAAATAGAAGATGGGCGCGAAGCGCCCTGAAAGTGTAGTATTTAAAAAATTGTAATTCTAATATTTTGAAAGGTATTTAAAAATATATATTCTTCTTTTTAGCAAGTATTTAGATATGTATTGTAAATAAAGCTAAAATTAACTAATTTAATATTTGAAACTAAAAAATACTTAATTCATACATTCCCTTGAATTTTAGAGGGTTTTGGTTTAAAAGTTTTAATATTTACTAAAATAAAAGTTAATAATTCAGAGCAAAAATTTAACAAAGGAGATGAGTTTTTGCCACAAACTCTGATTTTTTAATCTCTATATCTTTGTAATCTAATGTCATAGACCTTAGATATTTCAAAATATTAATACTTATAGATAAAATAACCTAAGTTTGAAATATCAAAGGTTTGTACCATCAGATTGCAAAGATATTGGGATCAGAAGATTTGAGTTTGTGGCAAAAACTCAATTCCTTTCCTGGTAACAATTTATTTGAATTGCGGAAAAGAATATTTAAAAACAAAAATAAACTCAAAAAAGATAGACTTGAGCATCTTAAAAAGAAATGAAATTCTATTTTTTAGCTAAATACTCAAAACTAAATAACTTTGTTAAGTAGTAGATAACTAAGGTAAAATCTGGAAAACTTTTCACCCAACGATTCTTAAGTTTTTTTCGATAGATGAATATAGAAAAAATACAGAAAATATTGAATAAAAGAAACACATATTGAGAATATTCTATCCAGGATGTTTTTTAGGATTTTCATTTTTCCATCTGGTCTCAATACAATGGGGACTTCTTTCTTTGTAGAGAATATATAATCAGTTTCCTTAAACTGTGCAAACTTTGCCTTTTTATATTTTAAAATTATTCTTTTTATAAACTTTGCCAAAGGAATTGAGTCTTTGCAACAAATCCCAATTTTCTAATACCTATATATCTACAACCAAATTATGTAAACCTTTGATATTTCAAACTTTGATTGTTTGATATAACAGAAGTCATAGTTTGAAATATCTAAGGTCTACAACATTTGGTTGTTAAAGTATAGGGATTTGAAAATCAGAGTTTGTGGCAAAGACTCAATTCCTTTAAACCATAAATGCGGTTATTTTATTTAACCCCTTGGTTGTAAATGTACAGGATATACCAGAATATTTTTTAAAAGCACATTATCCACAGTACATAAGTCATCCTTCAGTAGAAGAAGTCTATAAAGCATGAAATATAAAATGTAGCCTATGAAAGTTTTTTGTTTTTCTTCTTAAAATCTTAGTATTTTTGAGATACCCTTGCTGTTTTATTATTTATAATTGCAATAATGATAATGAGGGTAGAATACCCTATGAATTAGAAATATTTAATTATTAATAAACAATCATACAGGCTATATCTATGTACCTATCGATCATGCAGTTGTAGGGTTATTATTATATATTTCCTTTTGTTAAATTCTTCAAATGATTTATTTTTTAGGGATTAAGGGTTTGAGTTTTTGTCACAAACTTTTATTATGAAATCCCGATATCTTTGCATCCCAATTAGATATTTCAAACTATGAATCTAAGTTTCAAATATCATGTTGTAAAGATATAGGGATTAGAAAATTTGAGTTTAGGGCAAAGACTAAATTCCGTTCAATCAATAAATAAATACAGAACTTATGGATACTGCCCCGCCCCCACCGATTTTACCAACCAGATAGTTTGAAATGGGCGGGGGGGTACATTGGACCCATTACCTCAATGTTTAATGTTTAGGAAGAATCTATTTTTATTGGTGTTCTATCTTTCTATCTATATTTTACAACTTTGCACATTATGGCTTTGCATATCTATCCCATAAAGGTTTAGGAACCTGCTCCATGTAGGCCAATACCATATTTTATCCAGGCTCACAATTTTCATTTCGTAAAATTTAAATATTTAGAATTAATAAATAATCTGTTTAGAATACGAACGGAGCTTTGAAGACAATCAACTCCTCTCGGCTGACGGTCGATCCTGAGGGAAACTTGTGGTTCAGTAACGTGACGCGAAATGATGCGTCGAATGAGTTCTTCTACGCTTGCTCGGCTGCGTCATACTTTAGGAATGAATACAAGCTTGGGAACAGGGTTGTGCTCCAGGTATGGTTAAATAGAAGGGTAGAACAGGATTATACTCCAGGGAGGGTTAATAGCAGGGTTAAGCAGGCTTATACTCCAGGTAGGGTTAATAGCAGGGTTAACCAGGATTATACTCCAGGTAGGGTTAATAGCAGGGTTAACCAGGATTATACTCCAGGTAGGGTTAAATAGAAGGGTTGAACAGGAATATACTCCAGGTAGGGTTAATAGTAGGGTAGGACAGGGTTATACTCCAGGTAGGGTTAATAGCAGGGTAGGACAGGGTTATACTCCAGGTAGGGTTAAAAAGAAGGGTGGAACAGGTTTATACTCCAGGTAGGGTTAATAGCAGGGTAGGACAGGGTTATACTCCAGGTAGGACTAATAGCAGAGTGTAACAGGGTTATATTAAATAGCAGGGTGAACCAGGGTTGTACTACAGGTGGGGTTAATAGCAGGGTAGGACAGGGTTATACACCAGGTATGAGAGCAGGGTAAACAGGGTTATACTCCAATTAGGTTTAAAAGCAAGATGAAAGAGGGTTATATTAAATAGCAGGGTTATACTCCAGGTAGGGTTAAATACCAGGGTGGTACAAGGTTATACTCCAGGTAGGGTTAATAGCAGGGTGGAACAGGATTACACTCCAGGTAGGGTTAAAATTGCAGGTTAGGACAGGTTTATTTTCCAGGTAGGGTTAAAATAGCAGGTTAGGACAGGTTTATCCTCCAGGTAGGGTTAAAAACTTAAAATAGCAGGTTAGGAAAGGTTTATTCTTCAGGTAGGGTTAAAATAGCAGGGTGGAACAGGATTATACTTCGGGTAGGGTCGAAAAGCAGGTTCAAACAGGGACAGGGCTGAACTCCAAGTTTGATTAAATAGCAGGGTAGGAAAGGTTATACTCCGGGTAGGATTAAAAAGCCTATCAGGATGGGACAGGGTTATACTCCAAGTAGGATTTAATATCTGGAATGAATACAAGCACTAAGGAACAGGGTTGTACTACGTGTAGAGTTTAATATTATGATGGGAGAAGGTTATACTCTAAGAAGGGTTGAATATCAGGGTGGGACAGGTTAATACTCTAGGTAGGGTGAAAAGACAGGAAGTCGGATAAATTTCTGTGTTTGTTTGAAAACGATTAATAAATCTACAAGAATTTACCAATAAGGAATTGAGAACTAACCTCAAACTCGAATTTTTCAATTTTTTGCAACCTAAATTTGATTTGGCAAAAATCCTAGTTTAAAATATCGAAGGTTTCCGACAACGGATTGAAAATATATTAGAATCAAAACATTACAGTTAGAGGCGAGTAATCAGTTCCTTTAAAAAGTAATATCAGAATTGTTTAATCAACGTCAATTCTAAATTGAACGAAAAAATGTTTTTAAATCAAATTCCCATAATAAAGTTCTTGCAGTTGTTTTTATCTATCTGTATTACCCTCCTAGAACATTTATAGTTTCTATTCTTCTCCGGGTATATGGCTTTACTATAGAAAAGTTTAACCAAACCAAAAACTTTATATTTCTCCGTCCTAGTCTTCTATAGGGCTGTAATCGAGTAAAACCAAGAAATCCCAGGGCGATATCTTTATTACACATATCTCTCTGTAATCATCTAGCTGCTATCTTTCTATATCAATATATATAAAGTTGTAATCTCTGTATGTTTGTTTGTCCGATTATAACTCAGGAACCCCTGGACCGATTTGCCTCAAATTTTGATTGGGGAACTTATAGCTTGTTTTTGAGATTCTAAGTTGAGTGGGTAAACGGTGGGACTAACTATGAGTACCTTGAGCAACGCTGGGTTCCCAAGCTAGTTCATTTAAATCTTTCCTCTAAATCTTTCTATCTCTCTTTCTATATCCAATATTCTAATTATTAGGCTAAAACTAAATCCAGTTAAATCCACTCAAACTTTTGAATTAACATTTTCATTAAAATTGTTATTATTAACAATATTTAATACGCATTGGAAAGTATATTCTTAAACTAAAAAACACCATTGTTAAGGTAAGTTAGCTTCGGAATGAAAAACTCTTGTATTTCACCGAACTGACAGTGCGGCACATTCTTGTCATTTAGCAAATCTTTCGAATTCCGACGCGGCAAAAACGCGCTAAAATTCTCCGAGTTATTTTTTTGTAGCGGAAAGAGATTTTTGTAAACCCGGCGTATTTTACTTGTCCAATATTTAGTCTTAAGATTTAAAAAAGAAAAGAAATAAGATATATAGAGAAAATACAATTTTGGAAAATTTTTTAAGTTCAAACTGAAACCCAGGCTGAGAGAAAATTTATTGTAAAGAAAAACTGAAGTTTGTTGACATGTCTATAAATAGTAAATACTCTTGCACCATAATTTTCTTCTCTTCTGCCTTAGTTCGCATCTCTACTTATCTAGCTTTTATCAATTATTTTTTTATTGTAAACCCAGCTTTGCCTGGAAGCTAAACTTTCTTTATGCAAGCCAACCTACTCAAATTATAATAGTTAAACCTAACTAAGAACATTCCCGGGGTTCTACCGAGTTCCCAAATCAAAATTTAAGGCAAATCTGTCCAGGGGTTCTTGAGTTATAATCGGAAATACAAACAAGCTTACAGACAAACAGAGATTACTACTTTATATATACTCACCTTAATTGATTTTAAAATCTCTTATATGATCTCTTTTTTCTATTTTCCTGTTGTGTATTTCATATTCTCTATACATTTCTCAACTTTCCATAGATGAATACTGAATACGAGTTTCGTCATCAAATAAATTTTAAAATATCTAAACTTTGTTTTCTTTAGGTAAGCCAATCTGGATCTTCGGCAGGATTACAAAACAAAGTCAAGCCTACCAAGCAGTATGTTACAAGGAAGAATACAATTGCCTACCGAGGCGAGAGTGCTAGGATGTGGTGTATCTTTGGTGGAACACCTTTACCTGAAACCAGATGGACAAAAAGAGGCGGAGCATTGCCGCAGGGACGAACGAACTATGATAATTATGGAAAAACGTTAGTGATAGAACACGTAGATTACGATGACGAAGGTGATTACACTTGTGAGGCATCGAATGGTGTTGGAATCGCTCAATCTTATTCGATCCAGTTGGTCGTCTACGCGGCACCGTACTTCACCAAGGAGCCACAGAGTCAGACTGCTGCCGAAGGTGAAGATGTTATGTTTGAGTGCGAGGCTGCTGGTTTCCCGTCGCCAAGAATAGTCTGGGTGCACAACGGTGTCGCTCTCGACAAGGATAAGTTCAACGACAATCCTCGTCGTATTATCACCAGTAACTCCATCATCATCAAGAACCTCACCAAGCTCGACACCGGTAACTACGGTTGTAACGCTACAGCTCAGGCCTCTGGAAGGTACGTGTACAAGGACGTATTTGTAAACGTCCTTGCTCTCCCTCCAGAGATAACAGAGGCCCCACAGTCCATGCTGAGAACAGTGACTGGATCTACTATCACTCTGACCTGTGAAACCTTCGGAGCTCCTAAACCTATCGTGAAATGGTTTCACGGGACTGATGAACTCACGGGAAACCGGTTTAACGTTACAAACGATGGAAGTTTGATTATTTCCGACGTGAAGTATATAGATGATGGACATTATCTGTGTAATGCAACCAATAAGTTTGGATATGCCACAGCTAAAGGCTCGTTAATAGTGAAAGAACATACTCGGATCACGGGTAGTCCGCAACCCTATGAGGTTGAGGCGGATGATACAGCAACCTTCAGATGTAATGCTGTCACGGATCCTGATCTTGATCTAACCATAAACTGGCTCAAGGATGGTCGAAGGATTGATTTTGAGACGGAGCCGAGGTTTATTCAAACTAATGACAACTCTTTAACCATCACGAAGACGACTGAGCTTGACTCCGGAGCATACACATGTCAGGCCTTGACGGAGTTGGATGAGGATCATGCCTCCGCTAGCCTTATCGTCCAGGATGTTCCTAATCCTCCGAACCTGCTCTGGATTGAATGCAACTACCAGGATGCTGATGTGGTTTGGGAACCTAGAGGAGATAACCGAGCTCCAATTCTGTCCTACAAGATTCAGTACAATACATCATTCATCCCGGATACATGGGAGACAGCTACTGGTTAGTTGGATTTTATAGTTAAAGATATTTATATTCCTCAGTTAAAATTTTTCTTTTTTCTTTACTTTTCCCAATATTTTTCAACCCCTATTTTCTCTCTCACCTATTCAGATTTTTAAATTTTTATTTTTAAATTTCCAATTCCTATTTTTTGTTTTTTGTTTTGTTTTTACTTTTATTTCTCCCCCTATTTCCCGCATTTCTCATACCGATCTTCTCAAACCTTTTCTCCATATTTCCCTTTATATTTCCCCCCCTCTTTCCATTCCCTTTGTTGAAGTTTGATTGAGTACCTTTAATATAACTCAATATTCGTTCTAGCATTGCATACAAAATATTTACATTGAAAGGTTATTGAAACCTTTTTATTTTTCTCCTCTTTTTCTCTTTTTATCCAGTTCTTATCCTTTCCTGCAGTTCTTTTAGTTCAATCTCTCTTCAATTTCTTCGTTTTTCTGCTAGTTCATCTTTTTGGCTTTTTTTCTCTCATCTTCCAGTTTTTTTCTTTATTTAGGTGCCGGACAAACTTTTCCCAGTTCTTCTCCTTTCTCTCAGATATTGTCTATTTTTCCCAGTTCTTCTCCTTTCTCCCAGATATTGTCTACTTTTCCCAGTTCTTCTCCTTTCTCCCAGATATTGTCTATTTTTCCCAGCTCTTCTCCTTTCTCCCAGATATTGTCTACTTTTCCCAGTTCTTCTCCTTTCTCCCAGATATTGTGTTTTTTTTCCAGTTTTTCTCCGTTCTCCCAGATATTGTCTACTTTTCCCAGTTTTTCTACTTTGCTTAAGTTTTTCTCCTTTATTTCAGTTTTTCTCCTCTCCCAATTATTCTACTTTCCTCTTTTATCTTTTAGACTTCTTTCCATTAGCCCCCCCCCCTCCTCTTGATTTCCCTNTTCAGTAGTAAACACAAAAATTTGTACTTACTTCAGTAGTAAACACAAAATTTGTTCTTACTGCAGTAGTAAACACAAAAATTTGTACTTACTTCAGTAGTAAACACAAAAGTTTGTTCTTATTTCAGTAGTAAACACAAAAATTTGTACTTACTTCAGTAGTAAACACAAAATTTGTTCTTACTGCAGTAGTAAACACAAAAATTTGTACTTACTTCAGTAGTAAACACAAAAATTTGTTCTTATTTCAGTAGTAAACACAAAAATTTGTTCTTACTTCAGTAGTAAACACAAAAATTTGTTCTTACTTCAGTAGTAAACACACAAATTTGTACTTATTTTATTAAATAGTTATTTTTATCCATACTTCAGAAGTGAATAGAAGAATTTGTCCTTTTTAATATTTAATAACAGAATTCGTCCGGTTTTCAAATAGGTTAATACAAGTTTTTGTCCTATTGTAGGAAACCCCAAACTGATTTTATAGCGTTTAAAACAGAAGTTTGTCCCCAGAAAAAAAAGATGTCAATAATTTTCTTGTTAAAAAATTCCATTCGCCAACTGTATTTCCGCTGGGATGCACAACAGGAAACAATTTTCAATTCAAAGAATAAATTTAAATTTTATCCGTATCGGAGAAAATAAATTTGATCTGTTTCTAAAAACACTTTCTTGGTGCTTTTAATAGGAAACTAATCAATTCTCAGTCACGTGTCAGAAGACAATGAAACTAATAGATTTAATTTATATTTATAAAATCTTTTTTTTGGTTGCTCTAACTTTTTTGCTTAATCTGAAGGGGTTTTGTTCTCTCATCTTAAAGACACTATAACATACAAATTTTGATATTTTGTTTCTATTTGGAAATCTTAATCGAATCAAACGAGTTAAAGTCATTCTACTAATTTTTGAATTAACCAGTTGTATATTCATGTCATGGGGATCTTATTTAAAATCTACAGGGTGTCCCACATCAAATTAGACCGCGCCAATGGGTCTAAATTACGGTTTGGGGGACAAATCAGAAAATTTGTTAAGAAAGAATCCTTCTGAAAAATTTAAAAAGGATAATGGAAATATTTTTTCCAGAAAATGCTAGATTTTTCGAGTATTATGTGCGTATTTTGGCGTTAAAGATTGGAGAAAATCTAATATGATATGGGACGCTCTGTACCACCTCAGATACGAGTTTAATTAAACTGATTTTAGGAAATCATACCATCCCCAGTTTTTATCGTTCTATAATTCTCCCTGTATGGCCCAGGAGTATATAAGTAAGAATTGGGTTCCCGGAACCTGGTTGGGAATATCCAGGCTAGAGATAGAGCAGAGGATAATAGGTTTCAAGAACCCTGATAAAGATATTACAGCTTGGAACATTTTAGTTTATAATCAGAACTACAAGAAACAGAATATCACTGCCCTTCCACCATTTCACTCGAAATACTACAATTTCTACACACTTCAGAAACCATATTTTTTCTCAATGGTAGAAAACATCCTCCCCCTGCCCCCTTCTCACACCCCCATCAACATCCAACCTTCTGCTTATTGTATTTTACAGAAAACAACAATTACTTTCAAAATAATCCCATTTTGTTTTGAAAGGTTTTCAAAAATATTTTCTATATTTAGATTTGGCTCACAACACAGCTACGTCCTTCAAGGTCTCCATGTCCCCCTGGACGAACTACACCTTCAGGGTGATCGCTAGAAACAAGGTCGGAGACTCCCTTCCCTCCGGACACTCTAAGGTCTGCTTGACACCTGAGGATGTACCGTATAAGAACCCGGACAACGTGGTCGGAAAAGGAACTGCACCGAATAATCTCGTCATATACTGGACGGTGAGATATGTTTTTATATTTCTTTAACAAGGAAAATAACCTCGCACGCTGGTTCAATGTTTATAATTGCATTCTGTTGTTATCCGATATTGATTTTTGCCAGATTTAGCTGTGTCCTGGGTATTAAGGGGGGGGGGGAGACCAGGACGGATTTAGAGGATTCCCTGAGATGTATTTGCATCTTTATCCAATTCTTGATACAGGATTTACTGAAATGCCGCATTGGGGATTCATCTTAATTCCAAGACCAACATTGCGTTCGAGAGAATTATTAAGTGTTAACTGCGGAGAAAACATCTCGATTAAAGGAATAAAAAAGGAAACAGATTAAGATGCGGATTAAGTTAATTCTTTTATATTTCAGAGAATGCCGCAAATTGAGCACAACGCACCGAAGTTCAAGTACCGCGTGTACTGGAGAAGAGAGGATAATCCCCAGTGGCAGATCGAGGATATTGCAGACTGGAGACAGAAGGAGCTCCTTGTACCGAACCAACCCAAGTTCACCAAATACAGGATCAAAGTTGTGGCGCACAACCAGCGCGGAGAAGCTAATGTAGCGGCTGAAGAGGTTGTAGGTTATAGCGGAGAAGCTGAACCTGGTGAGGCCCCAGGGAATTTTAGTCTCAAGGAAGTGATAGGACCCCGTAGTGCGCTTGTATCCTGGGATCCTGTCAACCCTGCTAGTATCAATGGACACTTTAAAGGATATAAGATCCTTACCTGGACGGCGAGCACAGGAGAGGAGAACCAGAGAGAAATTATCATGAGGAGCGACTCAACCCAATCCTTGGTGAGAAGTTTCAAACCGTATGCGGTAAACTACGCAAGAGTTCTTGCGTTTAACGGAGCATACAACGGTCCTGCGTCAAATACAATCGTTATTGCTACTCCAGAGGGTAAACCCGGTCCAACAGAGACGCTGGAGTGCTATCCTATGGGATCCTCCGCCCTACTTTTGGAGTGGGTTCCGCCAGAGGAGGTTAACGGTGTTTTAACCGGATACAGGATCTATTACGCTAAGGTAGACGGAACCGCTGTCGGAGCACTGCTAGAGAGAGAACCTAGTATCAGGAACAATATGACAACCAAGGCTAAGCTGGCCGGCCTGAAGCCTCACTCCAAGTACAGGGTTACGATCAGAGCTACAACCAATGCCGGAGAGGGTATGCCCTACTACACAGACTGTGATACTAACCCTCAGACCAATGAACCTCCCTCAATGCCGAGGTTTAAATATACTCATCTGAGCACAGATAATGGTACTCCACCAAGAGTAAAGGTTACTTGGCAGCCGTTTGTTGATGGAAATCCTGGCTCACATTTCTACGTACAATATAGGTAATAATATTCTTTATCTGTCCAGATATATCTAGATTGCTAGTAAATACTACAAAATACTAATAATACTCGAGACTTTTAGAGATATAATAACATGCAAGTTTGATCTTTCCTGGAAACTTGTAAGAGCGGATTTTGCAATGCTCCTAAAACTTCATTTCTTGAGAACAATATTATAATCATAATCTGTAAACCTTAGTTTCAAGAAGTTTGAGTTCCCTTAGCAGATAATTTCTCTAAAGTTTAATAAGACACCGTCTTTGCAAGCTGTTCCCTAAGGGTGAAGGGGTAGGGGATGCATCCAATATTTTCATCATTTGGAAAAAGGGGCGTATCCTAGGAGCAGGGGAACAGGGGAATACATATCCCATGTAGAGTGTAGAGGTTGCTGTCTGAAGAAATATTACAAAGATTTTCAGTGTATCCAATATATTGCACAAAAGATTAATTAGAAGATTTCGGAACTAGAGTCTTCTTAATAACAGATACTTACAGGGTGAATAACAGATACTTACAGGGTGAATAACAGATACTTACAGGGAACACGACATTAGTACAAACTGTATCAAAGCACGGTTCTATTATATTATGTTTCCAGAAAGCAGATTGAAACTGAGTGGGCTAAATCTGACGAGCAGCTGAATGAGAACTACGTGGTCGTGCAGGGTCTGGATCCTGGACATGTTTACGAGTTCCGTGTCATTGCTGTGGACGGAATCTATGAAACTGCGTCAACCATCCAGGATATTGTTACCTACGCACGTCTTCCCTCCGCAGAGAATAGAGGCGGAACAGTCGTTGCTTCCTCAGGCTGGTTTATAGGTTAGTGTCTCTCAGGCTGGTTTATAGGTTAGTGTCTCTCAGGCTGGTTTATAGGTTAGTGTCTCTCAGGCTGGTTTATAGGTTAGTGTCTCTCAGGCTGGTTTATAGGTTAGTGTCTCTCAGGCTGGTTTATAGGTTAGTGTCTCTCAGACTGGTTTATAGGTTAGTGTCTCTTCAAGTTTTTAAAAAACATTTAAAAGATTCACTCTTCGTCTCAGTTTTGAAAAGAAAAATCGCAAATTTTTAATTCTTATTTATGGATGATCATCCGAGAAAAATATCTTTTGCTAACAAAAATATGTAAATTAGCAAAATGGAAAACCACAATGGCGTACACTTAGCAAAAGGTCTGTTGTGCCATTAATTGGACGGTTAATTTTTTTTAAAGACATGAAAAGGTAGTTATAGTTGGGGATTAGGAAGAAAAAAATATAGAAAAAGGAAAGGACTNGGGGGGGGGATTACTAAAAGGAGAGAGGGAGAAAAACGAGGAAAGAAGGGGAAAGGGTTAAACTATTTTAATTATTTCAACTAGTTTAAGATTTGATCAACTAAGTTTGATACTAACTGACTGATATATTGAACAGACATTGCTTCTAAACTCCCCTCTTAACTTGTGTCTAACCAACTAGAAAAAGAAAAAATGTAAAAATTACATAATTGACTTTTGATATCAACACCATCAATATTGTTATCTAGATTGTTATCATATTTGAGACACCTAGGAAGATATAATTTTAATTTTTTATTTTCATGTTTTTATTAAAATCAGAAAGGAACTGAGTTTTTGCCACAAATTATGATTTTACAATCGCTATATCTTTTCAACCTGATGGTGTAAACCTTTGATATTTCAAACTATCATTTTTGGATCTAAAATAATTCATGGTTTGAAATATCTAAATATGCAAATATGCAAAGATATAGGGATAAGAAAATCAGAGTATGTGACAAAAACTCAATTCCTTTAGAACACTTTCTCTGGCATGGAGATATCCAATTTTAAGATCTTTACGAGAAGAAATTCAAACCATAAAGAAATAGACACAAAATAATTCATAATGATATTAACCAATATAAATTAGAATAACTGTCCTCTTAGTTCTGTTTTGTAATAAAAAACCATGAAATGGTTTTACAATTATTAAATGTTATATTTTTTCAACCTTTTTTAAAAATAATTTTTGATTTTTTACAAAATTTTTAAAAGAGCAGTGAGTTTTTTCTCTGACTGTTGTATCTTCTTTTTAGCTGATCATACATCTGTTTTCTGTTCCTCTCTTTTAGATCTACGCATTCTAATCCCTTGTATACATATATATAATATATATGTATATGTTACATCTTGAAAAATTTCTGATATTTAACTGCTACAAATCAGAAAATCTTAACCGACAAATCCAATTTAAAAAAGCAACGACGACATATTGGTTTTCTCTGGAATTAATACATGATTTAAAGGTATGCTGCTTGCTCTGGTGTTACTGTTTGGTATCTGTGTTGTGGTTTGCCTGATCAAGAGGAACCGCGGCGGGAAGTACGCTGTACAAGCTCAGGAGGTGGCCCACGGCAGGGGTCATGAGTATGAGGAAGGAGGGTTCATGGAGTACACACAACCGTAAGTATTTTAAATCTCTCTCCCCCCCCCCTCCAGGAAACAGTATTCTAAGATTCCTAATGAAATGTTTTCTCACTAGTCACTTAGTTCTCTAAAGTTTTTTCCTTATAAACAAATAAACAATAAAAAGTTTGGAAGTAATTATGAAGGTAGCGCCTGGAAACAATATGGCGGCAGAAAACTAAGATGGCGCTGCTGGTTTTAATAAAATGATGATGATGAGATAGAAATGGAACCGAATGCTCCAGATTGAATATTTAATCGTGTGATTTGGGATAAAAACTGGTTCATTCGTATTCTCAAGCTGTTACGCAATCAGTTCTTTTCTCCCTTTCCTTAAACTTAGTTTCCCCTGCCTACCATCACCACCATGTTCTACTGTTTGAAGCAGAGTAGAACAATTTCAAAATAAGGGGTTGTAAACCGCAATCTAGCTGTTATTGATAATACTATTCACACTTTACATTGTTCATTCTGTACACTGCACACCGTATACTGTACAGTGTACAGTACGTAATGAAATACTGAACAAACTTGTCAACTTCATTATTTATTTTAAATGAAATTAATACTTTTTATTTTAATCTTTGTTCTTTAGTTTAAAAGGAATAAAAACATTAAGAACAAATTTTGAATTTTATTTGAAGTTTTAATCTAATTTCGAACTTTTTAGATTTGAATTCATTTAATTTCCATTTAATGGAAAGAAAAAGAGTGTTTTAACACACAAGAAAAAGAAAAAAAAACTGTCTGGGATTTAGAAATAAAATGAAAGATAACCCCCCCCCCCCGCCTACTACTTTCTTAGGCTGTTCCTTGTATCCTTGAAAATATTTTAATAAAGATTGCCTGACTCGCCTGACATAGCATAATTTTTTAAATTTTATTTTCAACAATTTTCCAAACTGAGCAAATTATTTAATATTTATTTTAAGTTATTCAAGAAAGATGAAAATTGTTTCGATCTAACTCAGTAATTAGATTGAATTGAAGCTTGAAGATACAAGGTTTAAGTTAGGATTTCATTTGCATTTTTATTACAGAGATTATGTTAATCTTACTTAGATCTACGCACTGTATTATTGATAGATATACGGTACAAAATATGCTTACGAAGAAATTCATTTTTCTGTTCTTTGAAGATGTTTTAACAAAGTAAAAAAAAAAAATTTGATTTTTCTGTAAAATTTATTTTTTTCTGTAAAAAACTTCAAAACCAGATTCAGCAATACGGTTTGGAAATATGTAAAATATTTAGCTTTGATTTTTTTATTTATATTGTTTCTTAATACACGTTATATCATTAAATGTTGTAATTCCCTCCACTCTCAGCAAAAGTTTCTGTCCTATTCTGAACCATCCCATAGGTTTAAATGTTTCTCTTCCCCAGGTTGGACGGAGAACTGCGGAAACCAAGCCAGATCTCAAGGGATATGCATCTACCCCCGGAGTCGGATACGGAGAGTATAGCGGATTATGCGGACGGGACGGATGCAGGTAGGGTTCAAGTACATCTATCAACAGAAGAGGAAGGAGGGNCAACATTTGACTTTGTTAGTCCTTGAAGCATGGAATGCAAGCTGGAATGTTTATAAAAACAAAATTGAAAACTTTTTGAAAAGAAATTTTTCCAAGACTTTTGAACAACTTTTTTTAAAGAAATCTTTAAATCTGAGAAAAATTGAAATATTTTATTGAGAAACAAAAAATTTAAATTTTATAATATTTCCATCTTTTTTTAATTTCCCCGTAAATTGTGTTTGTTTGGTTCACCTAGAGATAAAGAAGTCAGATTTCACCTAGAGGTATAATTGAGGATTTAAAAGAGATTACAAGATTTCATGAGTGGCTTTTAATATATTATAGGGTGGATCAAAATAAATTATTTATTTTTTTCAAACACTTACAGTTGCTTTTAAAAGACATATTTCGATAAAGAACAGAAAAGTGACATTTGGCCGTTGATTGGAATGGTCGCGCACATGGAGTGAATCAACATTTTTTTATAATTTTTTGAGAAACCAATATTTAACCAACCAACCTTTTTGATCCACCATAAATAGTTCCACTTTGTTGTTCTGAGAGGAGAATTATTTATAGACAATTGGTTGATTTTTAACTAATAATTTGTTCTCTTGTTTCAAATGACCGTCTCCACTCTTGATATTCATGTTAATCTCTTTGATTACCTCCGATATTATTCATACTCTGAGGATTAAATTCTGAAGATTTATGCGTTTAATAAACTTGGAATGTTCCCAAGGATTGTATAAATAGGATAGAATAATCATATTTGTACACCACAAAAGAACCACATTTTTGCAAACATGAAAACTCTAATTTTCTTATATGGTATTATCTGTATGTTTGATATTTAAATGTTAGTTTCTAAGTTTGAAATTCAAAGGTTTAAACCATCAGGTTGCAAAGATTTCAGGATTATAAAATTAGAGTTTAGAGCAGTAATCGTTTAAATGAATTCAATTTTGGTTTTGAATCTCTTCTATTTATACCATCCTTGAAGCTGACTCCCCCCCTCCCTGCATGATGTGTCCTCGCAACCTGGACTTTTATTTATTCCCATATTTCCCGACATTATTAAAACAATATAGCTTCCCCCAACCCAACATTGCTCTTTCTGGAATTGGTTTCCCGGCTCCCCCCCCCCTCTCTTCTACTTTTAAAATAGTAAAATGATATTTCCATTGATAAGATTCCGTGTTTTCACGTTTAACTGTTCAAGAAACCCCCTCCCCTTAATAAAATACCCCAGTTGTTCCTTTGGTCTTAAAGGGACTGTAAGCGTAATTTCAAGTGACCCTCCATACAAAGATGGCAATGCCCGATTTACAACGGTACCCATTCGAGCGTTGTCTGATCAAGCATAAATTAGATATTCATGTTTTTGTTTCTTCAAACTGTTTATTTCATTTGCGGTTTAACTCTGCGCATTCCTAGGTTGTAAGAAGCAATTGAGAAACTCACAGAAATAAACACTTTTCGAGTTAGAAAAACGACGTTATTTTCCATGTGTTTGATCAAGGTTTTAAGGGTACCGTTGTAAATCGGGCATTGCAATCTTTACATGGAGGGTCACTTATTACGCTTACAGTCCCTTTAACCCTGATAACTTAGTATTGTTTTGCTTGTTAATATTGGTTGTAAAATAGTGTACAGTACCGAGTAGTCACAAAACTGAACGTTTTTTGTTTATCCCGCTTTTTCTCTTATTTGTATGGTTTGTTTTTGCTCTAGCTGGTATGGACGAGGACGGATCCTTTATAGGAAAATACGCTCAAAAAAGAGACCCGGAGCAATCTTCAGCATTTGCAACCTTAGTATAGAGAAACAAGGTAGGATTAAATATTTATCATGTTTGATCGCATGATGATTAGATATTAGGCATGAGTTTTGATCCCATACCCTTCATTTTGTAATTATCAATGTGATTTTGTTTTAATTGTTTTATATTGCATTTTGCTACAAAAATAAATGAATATCGAGAAGTTATTACACTGATTTTTGCAACTAAATTTCTGGAGAGACGATTTGGAATTCGTCTCTGATCTTTGAAATGATTTGAGGCATTTATAGCATGATTCTTAAAAAACCCTAAAACTAAATACAATTTAAAAATGTCTTTTTTGTGCTTTCACATTTTACAACTACAAGAGATATTATGAAGATTTTTTGCAAGTTTTTAAATAATACAAAATCATTAATATCTCCAGTAATAACTAAAACTACCTTGTTAAGGAAAAATTATCTGTTCTGCATTTAAACTTTTTTTTGTACAAAGATATGAAGGTTTCTGGGAAATCTTTCTTGGATTTGCAATTTTAGCGATATTTGCAATGAAAACTTTCACGGGTATAAAAATTATCTTCATTTTTTAAAGCGGTTTTAATAATATTTTTAATATTTATTATTTCAGAGCGTTTTGAAGAAGACGGTTCCTTTATAGGCCTTTATGGTGGGGCTACTGGGAAAAAACCCAAACAATCCAGTGAAAGAGTGCGTGGACGAATGGGAGGTTGGCCAGCGGCCAGTCCAACTGCCGCGGCCACTTTGGCTGGTCGGCAATCTACTGCTGTTACTGACAGCGGTTTGGCGGCCAAAAGCAGCGGTTCTGCCACCTTCGTTTAGCACAACCAACTGATATTAACCTGATAAATATGTATTAATTAATTCATTAATTATTGCCGAATTTTATGTAAAATTATTATGTCAACAATTATAAACAAAAACGCGCCACAAAATGCTTCCAATTTTTCCCTCTTGCACCACTCAATGGTTGTATAAAAGTTAACACAACTCATATTTCAATCAAAAATATAAGTTTTTTGTTCCAATATTCAAATTTGATTCAACGAAAAGAAAGTTTAAAGATATGAGCACGATGAACGTGTACTCTGTGATAATGATGGTAAAAAATCAATTAATTTGGTGTGCTTGGCCTGACACTTCCCCTTGATAAACTTGAAATTTGTACACGGGGGTTCAAGATGATGTACTGCAGTGGCATTTTATAATTTCTGCCGTGTACCTTCGTTGTACAGATTAACAAACTGTACAGTGGTTCCTCTGTGTGGCGTACAAAGTTTTATGTCGCATTTGCTGTTTTACCTGTACAGTCCGACACTGTACATTGTACAATGTACATTGAAAAGTGTGTTATAAAAACCACAACTCACGTGACCACACTCCATCCAAACCTTGGTTCACCATGACCAGTCCAAACTTTAATCTATCAACTGCAGTCCAATTCATAATCCTTTCATTTTTTTTATTTCAAATACTCATCTTCAGTGAATAATACTTTCTCCTTTTCAGTTCAGCTTAAAAACTTGTTTTTAGCTTGCGACGACTTAAAATTTACGTAATCATTAACTAAAATGTACAAATTTTATTTTGTTCGGGCAACCTGTTATTTGGATCTCATGGTGATGAATCAAATGTGAAATATCCGGGTGTTTTTTGGTCCCGTCAACCCCCCTGTAGATATTTGTTTATCTGTTACAAATCCTGATATTAATGTTAGATTAGCTGTAAGAATAGTTTCGCTTTGTACTGCTCTATATATTATATTGTACTGCTATGTACTCTGTACAATCTGTGTACAGTAAATGTATCTATTCCTTTTTGTACACAATATTGAATAAAGAAAGCTGTGTACTTCCGATTGTGCTAAAAGGAGAAATAAATAAATGGTTACGGAATATACCCCCCCTCTGAAGGGATAAACCAGGGTTACGTAATATCCCCCCTCCCCCCCTTGAGAAATTGCTCCGAGGTCCGGTGTTCCCTAGGGAAGGAAAGTTTTCTGGTTTTTAGGAAGGACTAAATGACTCATCCTTTCTCCCCTCGCCCTTCATCCTTTCTCCCCTCGCCCTTCGGCCTTTCTNATTCTAAATTTAGGAACACGTCCACATAAATTCTAAATTTAGGAACACGTCCACATAAATTCTAAATTTAGGAACACGTCCATTGTCCACATAAATTCTAAATTTAGGAACACGTCCACATAAATTCTAAATTTAGTAACATGTCCATTGTTCACATAAATTCTAAATTTAGGAACACGTCCACATCAATTCTAAATTTAGAAACTTTACACATAAATTCCATATTTTGGAACATATACATATAAATTCTAAATTTAGGAACACGTCCACATACATTGTAAATTTAGGAATACGTCTACAAAAATTCAAAATTTAGGAACACGTCCATATAAACTCTAAATTTAGGAACACTTCCACCTAAATTCTAAATTTAGGAACACGTCCACATACATTGTAAATTTAGGAACACGTCTACATAAATTCAAAATTTAGGAACACGTTCATATAAATTCTAAATTTAGGAACACGTCCACATAAATTCTAAAATTAGTAACATGTCCACATAAATTCTAAATTTAGGAAAACGTCCACTTTAATTCTAAATTTAGAAACACGTCCATATAAATTCAAAATTTAGGAACACGTCCATATAAATTCTAAATTTAGGAACACTTCCACCTAAATTCTAAATTTAAAAACACGTCCATATAAATTTTAGATTTAGGAACACGTCCACATAAACTCTAAATTTAGAAACATGTCCACAAAAAATTATAGATTTAGGAACACGTCTACATAAATTCAAAATTTAGGAACACGTTCATATAAATTCTAAATTTAGGAACACGTCCACATAAATTCTAAATTTAGAAACACGTCCATATAAATTTTAGATTTAGAAACACGTCCACATCAATTCTAGATTTAGGAAAACGTCCACTTTAATTCTAAATTAAGAAACACGTCCATATGAATTCTAAATTTAGGAACACGTCCACATAAATTCTAAAATTAGGAACACGTCCACATAAATTCTAAATTTAGGAACACGTCCACATAAATTCTAAATTTAGGAAAACGTCCACTTTAATTCTAAATTTAGAAACACGTCCATATAAATTCTAAATTTAGGAACACGGCCACATAAATTCTAAATTTAGGAACACGTCCACATAAATTATAGATTTAGGAACACGTCTACATAAATTCAAAATTTAGGAACACTTTCATATAAATTCTAAATTTAGGAACACGTCCATATAAATTCTAAATTTAGATACACGTCCATAAGAATTCTAAATTTAGTAAAATGTCCACATAAATTCTAAATTTAGGAACACGTCCACATAAATTATAGATTTAGGAACACGTCTACATAGATTCAAAATTTAGGAACACTTTCATATAAGTTCTAAATTTAGGAACACGTCCATATAAATTTAAAATTTAGGAACACGTCCATATAAATTCTTAATTTAGATACACGTCCATAAGAATTCTAAATTTAGTAAAATGTCCACATAAATTCTAAATTTAGGAACACGTCCACATAATGAAAAGAGAATGAGGAGAAGAAGGGATGAAGAGAGAAGGAGAGAACGAGGAGAAGGATGGATATGAAATTGAAAGGAAGAGGAGGAGAAGGCAGGACGAAATTTAAAAGAGGAGGAGAAGGAGGGATAAATTTGAAGAGATGAGGAGAAGGAAGGAAGAAGTTGAGGAGGAAAGGAGAAGGGAGGATGAAATTGAGAGGCAGAAGAGGAGAAGGCAGAATGAAATTGGGAAGGAGGAGAAATGAAAGTAAGAGGAGGAGAAGGAGAGGGATAAAAGCGGAATATTGGAGCATTAGAGGGGTTTATGTCTGAAAGTGTGAGATATTTTCACTTACAACAGTCTCAAGTACTCTCAATATAAAAAGTTGCTGACAGACAAGTGGTTCGTCCTGCTCTCAAAGTTTTAAAAATAAATCATAAAATTAATATTCTAGAGTCTAGAGACTAGAGTCCGCATGGATGAAAATCCAAATTAAATTTTTTTACGTTATGAAATCTTATGAAATCTCTCGATAAAAAACCAGTACTTTACACGCTGAAAGAAAAATATCGAAAACCAATAGTTTTATGTTTGACATTTATCAATATTCCCCGAATATCTCCGAAACTGAAAAGTTTTCAATATATATATTTCTACGCCGAATGTCAGAAACAATTTGTAAAAGAAATTTCCCTCGGTTTTGGGAGAAAAGTATTTCAGTAGATGTCGGAGTATATTTAGTAACACGTCCACATAAACTCTAAATTTAGGAACACGTCCACATACATTCTAAATTTAGGAACACGTCCATATAAATTTTAGATTTAGAAACACGTCCACATAAACTCTAAATTTAGAAACACGTCCACAAAAATTATAGATTTAGGAACACGTCTACATAAATTCTAAATTTAGGAACACGTTCATATAAATTCTAAATTTAGGAACATGTCCATATAAATTTTAGATTTAGGAACACGTCCACATCAATTCTAGATTTAGGAAAACGTCCACTTTAATTCTAAATTAAGAAACACGTCCATATAAATTCTAAATTTAGGAACACGTCCACATAAATTCAAAATTTAGGAACACTTTCATATAAATTCTAAATTTAGGAACACGTCCATATAAATTTAAAATTTAGGAATACGTCTACAAAAATTCCAAATTTAGGAACACGTCCATATAAATTCTAAATTTAGGAAAACTTCCACCTAAATTCTAAATTTAGGAACACGTCCACATAAATTATAGAGTTAGGAATACGTCTACATAAATTCAAAATTTAGGAACACGTCCATATAAATTCTAAATTTAGGAACACGTCCACATAAATTCTAAATTAAAAAAACACGTCCACATAAATTCTAAATTTAGGAACATGTCTACACAAATTCTAGGAACACGTCCATATAAATTCTAAATTTCTAAATTAGGAATATTTTAGAAAATGAAAACATTGATGTACGTATGACAAAATTTGAAATAAAGCAATTTTTCTAAACACTTGCTAAACGGCAATTCGATAGTGGTTCTATAATTTTGCCGCTTTTAGATTTTAGCCAAAAAATCCAAAATGTTAGAAATAAAACATTTTAAAAGCTTTCTTTCAAAAATCAGATGAGAAATATTTTTAATAAAATGCATCAATCCAAAAATCTGAGTTTTTATGATAATTCTACTCGATTTGCTTCTGATATGCGGGAATGGAGATGAAGAGCTGTAAATCACCTTTTCTTTACATTATGAAAGCCAATAAGTCTAAGCAGTGGAAAAATGTCGTTCTCTTAATTTCTTATTTTTATGAAATGAATTGATATTGAAAAAAAAACATTGTCTACATTTCTTGATAAAAAGGATAAAGGAAGACTAGACTCATGTTTTCTAATTAACTCTTGCACAAAACAATCTCTGTACACGACCTAAAAACAGGGTCTATACTGGGGTATGGGAAGACGACATTTCTGCATAATTGCTGTGTTTCATGTTCATTGGGTTTTTAAAATCATTACTGGAGTCTTCCCATCCCAACGTTGTATGGAAGAATGGTCCCACTATATAGTAAACAAATATTTGTTGACAAAGATGACAAGAATTTGATCTTAATTGGCATATATAAGAATCAGAACTTTCTTGTTGTAAATCCGGATCAAGCATTGAATCCATTTTCTGCAGATCTAAGGATTAATTTTCTACCTCTTGGATATCCCTTGATGATTGCACCTTACAGGGATAACTAAAAGGAAGTTTAAAACTTGTCACAGCAGATTTCGAGATCAAGCAGTCTGGTCTGATTTTATCATAGCATAAAGATCATATACTTTTTTTTAAATTTTTGTTTATTTATGGAAAATCTAACATATAAAGTAAATACAATTTGTTAATTACAAATATAAATGTTGTAAACAAAGGTACGATTTTTTTGTCTAATAAATGATTAATGTAAATGTCTCTTTAACTATCTTGGTTGACAGTTTTTATAAAATAATTCCCATTTTCCGGATTCCAGAGGTTTTAGTTCTTCATCCTCGCCGCATAGTACTCTTCTTTCAGATCTTACATTCATACTTCTGAAATATTATAGTTGTCATTTTTATTACAGTTTAACCCAAAATTTCGGATACATCAAAAGAATTTATAAAATGTCCCCCTGACAATTTTTTAATGGGTTTTATACTATTATACAGTTTAACCCAGAACTCGCGGATACATATTCTTGGCTCTTTATAAATTTTTACAATTACTGAGATTTAGGTATAGTATAAAACCCATTGAACAATTTTCAAGGCGATTCTTTCGATGGCTCCGAAGTACTGTACCAAAATCTCAGAAGTTGTAAAAATCGATAAATAGCCATTAAATATGCGGGAACAGTTGTAAACAGCTCCATTTAGTTATTTAATTAAAAAACTAAATATCTGCAGCATTCCATTAGAGGTAATTGCAATATTCTCTAAGAAAAGTTTATCAGAACAAAACATGAAACACATTTTCCCAAGATCAAACGGATCAATTTCATGATCATACTCCCAATACACCTCAGCTATAGAAACCTAAACAATCACAGTTTAAAGAAGGTTGCATGAATTATTATCAACGAGGAGATTTCAAAATGTCGTCTTCTATAGAAAAAAATCTTACCACTCCAATGTTCTTCTGAAGAGAAAGTTTAAATTCTTTTTTCTTTCCGTGGAAAAATTGTATTGACTCCTCTCTGAAAAATGTAGAGAAATAAAGTTTTGACTAAAAACAACAAACTGAGAAAGAAAGTTTAACAGCCATTTAGTAATCATAACTTAAATGGTTGATACAAAAGTATAGAAATCTATTGAATTTATTAAAGATAACAACAACAACTTCAGAGACGCCTTCTGTTACGGAATTTATTAATGATTAATTATTGATGGTTCCTTCTCAATTAAAATGTTTTACTTATGAATGGTAAATCATTTAGTGAACTTATAAAACTGTGGAATAGAAAGACGACTGTTAGATTTAATTCATGAAAATAAAACACGGCAATTGTGCAGTACGTACACTGTTCCATTTCACTTAAAAAGTAAATTTGCAACCTTATATTAGTAAAATAACTGGCTTTAAAACATCAAATAAACAGAAGATTGCTTTAACGTCGTCTTCGTCCTTTTCCACAGCTTTATGGGTTTCTCTGTATAAAAGATGCATTAAGTCTAAAAAGAAATCAGAACGTCGGAATTAAACAGTTTCAGGTCGTCATTAAACAGTTTCAGGTCGTCATTAAACAGTTTCAGGTCGTCATTAAACAGTTTCAGGTCGTCATTAAACAGTTTCAGGTCGTTGTTAAAATCTCATACTGCGTGGTTAACTCTTACTTACTCTGGAGTTAGTCTGTGTTTAATTATCTCTCCTCTATCTCCGTACAGGTTAATAATAAGCTCACCCTAAACCAGAAATATAATTATCTCGGCTCTATCTCCGTACAGGATAATAATAAGCTCACCCTAAACCAGAAATATAATTATCTCTCCTCTATCTCCGTACAGGATAATTATAAGCTCACCCTAAACCAGAAATATAATTAGCTCTCCTCTATCTCCGTACAGTGTACAGGTTAATAATAAGCTCACCCTAAACCATGAATATAATTATCTCTCCTCTATCTCTGTACAGGTTAATTATACGCTCACCCTAAACCAGAAATATAATTATCTCTCCTCTATCTCCGTACAGTGTACAGGTTAGTTATAAGCTCACCCTAAACCAGAAATATAATTATCTCTCCTCTATCTCTGTACAGGTTAATTATAAGTGCACCCTAAATCAGAAATATAATCATCTCAGATTCTTTTGAAGCCTCTTAAAGGTCAAAAAACCTTAAATGTAAAAAAACCTAAAAAACTAAGGCAACGCAGTAACAAAAGTCATAATATCTTTCGTCATAAATATTTTCTTAATAAATACATTTTTCATAATGGACTGCGATCATCTGGAGCCATGAAAACCAAACGACAGAAGTTGAACCCCATGCCATAGATCCCCTGGAATCATCAAGATATCATCAAAATCGAATAAATAGACAATCTTATATTACAAATATAAAGTGTAAAGGTTGTAAAAATATTTGAAAATATAACAACAAAAAAATACTTAAAAATATGATTATGACAAATGTATGATTTTTATACGATGAAAATCGTATTTATAACAAACGAAAGTTATAAATTTTGTAATTTATGACTTATGAAATTTATAAAAATTGTCATTTATGACTTTGGTAATGACAATCGTATTTTGAAAAACATATTTATGACAAACATATTATGAATTTTGTAACTGCGTCGCCTTTCTCACTAAATGTGTGGACTCAATCGATTTAGCCACATTTTTGTATGCAGTGGTCGGCATTTATATCAATACAATGAAGACAGCTTTTCTATTTAAGTTTTGATTTCTACAAGCTTTATTCAAATTAAAACTTACATGTAAACAAATAGAAGCTGTAAATTAGCAGCTTATCTTTGTTCCCGTGTTAATGTGTATGACTTTATGTGTTTAAAAGTTTGTTAAAAATCAAAATTAGAATCTAAAGTCGTCTTTATTATATTGATATATACGCCGACGACTGTACATATAAAATAAAGAATTATTACCTGCACCCAATCCTCTATATCCCGAGATCTTCCCAGCTCTAACTCAAGCACATAACTACCAAATAACTCAATCAATCATTTGTTTACAAAAATCTTGTTATCGCTGGGATTGTGTGCTTGAATGCATACTTGAAGTAAAACAATCAATAGATTAAACGAGATATTCCTAATTCCTATCAGCATGAGAAGGAAACTGAGTCTTTGTAGAAAATGAAAACCGTGATTTCCGATAATTGTTTTACCTCCCTTCCACTCCACACACTTTTCATCTAGGATTTTTATACTTCTCTTTCTTCAGGAAGAAATATCTTTCATTTCCGTCCCATTGATTTATCAAGGAAAAAACGGTCCTTGTACCCACTCAGTAGTCAGTACTCCCAGATAAACAATATTACTTGTACCATTCTGTACCCTACTCATCCTTCCTGATACTCGATATTACTTGTACCATTCTATACCCTACTCATCCTTCAAGATACACAATCTCACGTGTACCCTACCATACCCTGCTCAACCTTCCTGATACACAATCTTACCTAGCTGTACCATTCTAATACCCTACTCATCCTTCGACCCAGATACACAATATTATTTGTACCATTCTATACCCTACTCATCCTTCCTGATACACAATCCTACTTGTACCCTTCTATACCCTACTCATCCTTACTGATAAACAATCTTACTTGTACCATTCTATACTCTACTTATCCTTCTAATACACTATATTACTTGTACCATTCTATACCCTACTCATCCTTCCAGATACACAATATTACCTGTACCCTTCCATACCCTATTCATCCTTCCTGATACACAGTCTTATCTGTACCCTTCCATACCCTACTCATCCTTCCAGATACGCAATCTTACTTGTACCATTCCATACCCTATTCATCCTTCCTGATACACAATCTTACTCGTACCCTTTCCATACACTACCCATCCTTCCAGATACACAATCTTACCCGTACCCTTCCATACCCTACTCATCCTTCCTGATACACAACTTTGTTATTTTACCCCCTTAACCTAATCTCTCACCCGCATACATAATAGCAGATGTATTTATAATCTTACTTGTGTCTACAGAAGGGTGATGTCCCTGCTGTATCCAGGTACATTGTTCTTGCATCTCCCTTTTTCCAGGCACTGAAATACATTTGTAAGAGATTTGGTATCTTAGATCCTGTATTTGGTATCTGTTATTACTGTATCCTGAACTAAGTATTATTTGGTCTGTTTCCCTTACCCACTATCAGTATACTGTATTGTAAGTAATATGTTGTGTATCCTGTATCTCATATATATGTAGTAGTACCTATGTTTACTCGAATGATATCCAAGAACGGAGCAACGCTCTCCGTCCTCTCCACATTGTAAACAATTCCCGTCCTGGTACTCTTCATAGGAACTACACAGATGTCCTGAGCAATAGAAATTAAAGGGACAGTAAAGGAAAAATGAAAGGGGGTATAGGCTGAAAGCTTATCACTTTAGCTCTCGATCTCGACCCATGAAAGTCATATCTGATGTTCCTGTCTCGAGAAATTGATATAAAACTGTGTGTGTCAAATCTATACGAAAATTAATATATATACAATTTTGTATAAAAGTAGTAGGTTTAAACAGATCATATTCAGCAAATAAGCAACCAATCTGAAAACGATGATATCCCAGAGAAAGCTAATTGTAATTTAGGTTTACTTTTATATTTGTTGTTTCTATTTTCAATAGATTTCATTCATAATATTATTTTTACGTCCGTGTTACTTAACCAGAAATTCCACCAATGGCAGTGCAGTAAAGTGGTCAAGTGGTCACGTGATATAGGCGGAGACACGTGACCAGTATACTGCTCTGCCATTGGTGATAGTTCTGGTCACGTGATTTAAGTTTCAGATTTTCAAAATATTACATATATGAATTTTCGTATAATTTTAACACAGTTTTATATCAGTTTCTCGAGACATGAACATCAGATATAACTTTCATGGGTCGCGATCAAGAGCTAAAGGGATTAGCTTTCAGCCTATACCCCCTTTCATTCTTCCTTTACTGTCCCTTTAATCAAAATAATTTCATCCAGTTTTATGTATGGTTTTCACAAAATTCTACTCACTTTGAATTTATGTCAAAGAGACGTGACAAATGGAGGTTTAGGCAAATGAACAAATGTTAATTGCAGAATTTAAGAATTTAATATCATGGTATATCCTTGAATACAGTCTTACAGAGTTTACTCCGGATACCTATCATAGTGCAGGTTCTTCCTCTCCGTATAGAGTCAATATACAGCTGGACAGCTCTTAACCAAGAGAAATTTTTGTAAGTTTGAGGAATTGTCGTTTTAATTTTAGCAGACCCAAAATAGTACCATAAATTAAACAGTACACAAATCACTCTCTATGCTTTTAACAGTATCTTGCAAAAATGATATCTTCGTGTTTCTGGCTCGTAGGTCTTTCACACAAACTCTGATTTTTTTAATCCCTTTATCTTTGTAACCTAATATGATAGACCTTAGATATTTAAAACTATGAATTCTGTTACATCGAATAGTCACACTGTATGCTTTAACGACATCTTCGCATTTCTAGCTCAAAAAAAAAATTAAATCTTTGCCAAAAACTAATCCATATATCTTTGCAACCCAATTTCGTGGAGCTTAGATATTTCAAGTTTTGAATTCTGTTAGATCAAAGAATTTAAGTTTGAAATATCAAAGGTTTCACTGTTTCAAAGATATAATGATTAGAAAATGCAGCAAGGAAAAAGCGACTCCTTAACTCCTACAGCAAAGACAAGCAATAAAAACCAAGATTTTTTATATTCCTTTTAAAAAAAGGACTCTTGGTTAAGGGTTCCGTCGAAAATCTTAAATTTACGAGTCTTTTCAAAATATATATTTTTTTACATCCTTAGACCCCCCCCCCCTTCAAGAACTATAGATTTGTTAAAAAGAATAACTTTGTTGGAACAACGTTCCCTCTACAAATGTTACTCTTGTCTTCATAAAATCAGTTTTATTCTGTTTGGAAATTCAAGCACATTTTTATCATTCAAAAGCATTTGTTTTAGGGAAACTTATAGATGAGCTTAGGAATGTGTGTGTATGTAAAATCATACCAGAACGTGTAAATGTGTTTTAAAGGAACTGAGTTTTCTAATCCCTGTATCTTTGCAACCCGATTGTGTTAACCTTTGATATTTCAAACTTAGACTAATTGATCTAAGAAAATTGATAGTTTGAAATGTCAAAGGTCTACAACATCGGGTTGAAATTGCAAAGTTATAGTGATAAACAAATCAGAGTTTTTTGGAAAAAACTCATATCCTTTATAGATATCAATCTTCAAGTCTATTTTCAGGTTTTAATGAGATGAATAAATAAAATTTCCCTTCCCTGTTGTGCGCACAGGCTACAAGATGTCTGCTCACGCTCTCCGGGGTTGGAAGATCCATATCTTCAACTGTTATGGAGGAGAGCATAGGAAAGGAGAGGATGGAGCATCCAGGTTGAAACTCTCCTCCGTTAGGATAGAAATCTATGTCTCCAACCGCCTGCTTCATCCCGTACCCTTCGTGTTTTTTACCATTTATGAATATTTCATATTTATCAGATTTTTTAGTTTTGAATTTAGATTTTTACCTCCCATAATGATGCTTTTGGCATCAGTGTGAATAACGTCAACGAAAAGAGCATCTGATGGATCAAGGATTACAAATTCAGGCATACCTTGGAACAAGGGTTCAGCAGGATCCAGACCTAAATACACTTTATAGTAAAACTTCCTTAGCATCTTTGAAGATCCTAAAATCATATCATACAGTAGATTTTAGTATATATTCAAGGTTCGTTCTCTTTACAGCACCTAGACAAGGGTTCAGTAGGATCTAGGTTTAAATATACAATATAAATATAATATATTATATGAATAGCAAGAGTTTCTAGACCTAGATATACCATAAAGTTTATTATATCTTCTTCTTATGCCACCTAGAGAAGCGTTCATCAGGATCCAGTCCTGAACATACAGGGTTACCCACAAAGGATTAGACTGCTAAGACTACTCAAATATTAAGATATGGTGACTCTAGGATTAAATTAGGTCTTCTGCCTTAAATAAAGTCTTTTAACGGCTTATTTTATGATCTTGAAAAGAAGTAAACTAGTTTACAATAGCTAGGAATCATGAATATAAGGAAAACCCGACATGATAAATTTCGCAGAGTCATCTCTGAAGTCTTTCTTTCTCTTATACCACCTAAAAAAGGGTTCAGTATAGATCCAGTCCTAAATTTACCAAAAAAAAGTATCCCAATTCTCTTATACCACCTAGTTCTGGGTATATTAGCTTAAATATACAGGGTGAGTAAAAAAAGCGGCGTCTGGTGCGAAATTGTACCTTTTTTGTGCAACTCTCCTGTATGGTATTTTTTCAATATTTTTTGGATTTTTTTGTATTCCAATGGCCCAAAAAAATCCGCGAATCTTTTTTCTTTCTCAAAATTAAAAGTTCAGAAAACCAAAAGTTTGAATATATATATTATTTCTATCAAATTCTAAAATTTTATGAAGATTAAATCACAGAATCACGGAATATTTGCAAAATTGTAATAATAAAATTTTCAGTTCTGGTCTAATTTTTAAGGAAAAATTCTTTTAATCATTTAGTTCCTTTCTTCTTAGTATATTCTAAAGTTATAGTTTTACGCTGTTTAGTTGAAAACTTAATATATATACACATTTTTGCTTTTCTTTTGGGCCTTTAAAGTGCCAAAAAAATCCAAAAATATTGATAAATACCATTTAGGACGGTTGCACAAAAAAAGTACAATTTGCACCAGACGCCGCCAATCACACTTTTTTTTGATTCACCCTGTACCATATATGTAGAATATTCCCATGCTCTTCAACCGCCAGGAAAAAGTAAGAACCTAAATTTAAAAAATATCTTGAATACCTGATATCCGTCCCATCCCCTGAACCTGTTCTCCAGCATATCCTGCTATATGAGCTCCCAAAGAATGCCCGATTATGTGAACATTCTCGGCTGTTAATCCATGATCCTCCTAAAATTAAAAAAATTACATTTTTGGATATTGTAGAGTTATACATATTTTATCTTCTAAATATTACTTTACCTACAACCATTTTTCTTTATACATTTTGAAAAAGAACAATTTCGCCAATTTTGTCTGTTTATTGGTAGATTTAAAAAATTGTTGGGTCGGAATTTTGACGTTTCTTGGAAAAAAATATTCCAGCTAAATGTAGGTAGATTGTTATATTAGAAAAAAAAACAAGATATAGCATATTGTTAAATGCATAAATAGTAAGTTACATGTGGTACACCTAGTAAAATAAATCTTACACGGAATAAATACATAGTTAGTAAGTTACATGTGGTACACTAGTAAAATAAATCTTGCATGGAATAAATACATAGTTAGTAAGTTAAGTGTAGTACACATAGTAAAATAAATCTTGCATGGAATAAATGCATCGTTATTAAGTTACATGTAGTTACATGGAATACATGCATAGTTAGTAAGCTACATGTGGTTACATGGAATAAATGATGCGTATATGCGTATATGCGTATATGCGTATACAAATGAATGTGTTCTGTATAAAATGCATGTTAATTGATAATAAACATTGAAAAAAATAGTTCGAGCATAAAAAGCTTCCTACTATTTTTGGCTTGAATACAGTGCTTGAGTATAAAGAGGCGTACACTATACAGTGACACACTATACCGTACATTGCATAATTGCATTTAAGTTCTTTAAACTTTATAACGCCTTAATTTAATGCTTTATTGATTCTAGTAAAAACTTTACTCTTCCTAAATAAAAAACACCTATTTTTTAATAAAAACGATGTTATTTAAAGTAGAGCCGTAACTAGTGTTACAGTAGGGTTACTGCTAAGAAAATTGTAATAATTTTGGGATTGAAAATGAATCATATTAGCTTGATTTTGATCATATTTAACATTTATGTAATTTTATTTTTTAACTACTTAATTTAGCTGCAATATTCTTGAAAAATATTGAACCGTTCTAACCTAATACTAATAAGAAGGGTACCATAATTAATCGGGCCCGGCATGATACTCTTTAACTGGGGAAACTATATCCTACAAGAATGAGATGATTCAGTTGATGTACTGTACAGTTTTGTCGTCTATAGTCTGTGTGAACTATATACCATTCACAAACTGTCATAGCTGCCCAAGAGTCGGTACGGTATTTTAAATGAGTTAGAGTTTGAAGTAGTGGTAGCTTCAGATTACGTATATCTTATTTTATTTGTTCTAAGACAACAAATAGCTTCCCGTTTAACTCCATATTTTTTGTTTCTAACCCAGCATTTTTTTACAACAAATACATATTATTTTAGGAAGAAAGGAGGTCAATATCTTTTCCTTTAAATTTTCAATATTTCTTGACTTTACCCCTGTAATTGATTTAAACATTGAACCATGAAATATTGAATTATTATTATTATATATTATATTATTATTATATAATATTATTATTATTGGTCATTTAAGAGAAATTATATATTCTGATAAATTTTCATAATATTGTGTAATGGTGTAAGTATTCACATATTGATTACGCATTTAATAGAAATTATACATTCTGACAAGGTTATAATGCATGGAAAGTTATTTCAGAGGTGTACGCATATTTTGTGCTGCAGTGTACTGTCTCTGGGCGGTAATGTAAAAACAAGTCGAAGCCTGACATGGGATCCACCTTTCACATAAAAAATCAATGAAATATTCTGGTCAATGGAAACTATTATGTGAATAATCAAAATTATCAAAATGTAATGCTTTTAACCTCCTCGGATACTAAACGAACACTGATTTACAAATTCCGCCCAGAGAGAACTGGTTTCAATATGTACGTAGAGTATACGCAACTGCAATTAACTTTCTTTGCATTCTAACCTTGCATTCTGATAAATTTTCATAAAATTATGTAATTTTGGTAAGTATCCATCCACATATTGATATACGCATTTCTCTTATGTTTAAAAGAAAAGTTAAAAGATTAAAATATTTCAACTGAAGTACAAGGTGAAGTACAAAGTAATTAGTACAAAGTAAAGTACAAAGTACACAGTACAGTACATACTCACAATTAGTTTGTTTATGAAGAATGCCACCTCCAGACCGACAACCCTAGTGTTAGCTGCTGCTTGGCTGTACAGGGGTAAACTACTCCTCGAATCTCTTTACCTCCCTCCCCACAAATCCCTTCTACCCCCCATCTCTCTTTGACAGTAGGAATGAGTATATTCATCCAAACCTAACAAGGCCTCCGACAAATCCTAGAATAAACTGTTTTTAAAAACTTTTGAAGAGATTGAAAAAATTGGTTGTTTACCTTTACCCAGACTTCAAATCCTGTATCAATAAAACCATGAATTATAAGTTTCAGTGGTTTGGACCCATTCATCCCAGCTTCGGTCAGAGATTTGGGATCGGAGACATTTATGATCCGTTCCTAAAACATAACTTGGATTAAAACTAAGGATCAATCATAGCTTTCTTGACTAACCTTGTTCATGGAACCTAAACGTGATCTCGATACCTGATAATTATTTTACTCTATAGTATTCTTCTATGTATACTTGGAAATGATCTTGAGTCCTGATAATAATCTAAACCCTAGTATCTTTTAAATCTGCTATACCTGGAGACTATCTTCAGTCCTAGAAACAAACTAACCCTAATGGCGCCTATACTCTGTTATATCTGGAGAATATCTTGAGTCCTGATAATAATCTAAACTCTAGTTTCTCTCTCCTATACTCTGCTATACCAAGACAATATCTTGAGTCCTGAGAATAATCTAAACTCTAGTATCTCCTATACTCTGCTGTACCTGGAGATTATCCTGAGTCCTGAGAATAATCTAAACTCTATATCTCCTATACTCTGCTGTACCTGGAGATTATCCTGAGTCCTGAGAATAATCTAAACTCTAGTATCTCCTGTACTCTGCTATACCTGGAGATTATCCTGAGTCCTGAGAATAAACTGAGTATTTATCACTTCTCTATCAAGAGGGAGGAGGTTCACGGGTCGTGTCAAACCATACCTAAATATCATCATATAAAATCGGAAATCTAAAGATTAAAAAGGAAATAAAAACAAAAAACAGTCGAATAATTTTTTGTCTTCGTTCTTTATTGCTTGATAGAATCTTAGCTAGTTTTTTTTTCAAAGATGAATAAGTTTTAACAGTCACAAAGGAAACGAGTCTTTGCCACAAACTTTGATTTTCTAATCCCTATATCTTTGCAACCCAATATCGTAGGCCCAATATCAAAGGTCTACTCCATCTGGTTGCAAAGATATGGGGACTAGAACATTTGTGGCAAACACTCAATGCCTTGAAAAAAAACCTGGCGATATTTCGTGAATAAAAGAAAGAAAGAAGTTGACAATCATTCCACTTTTTCCTGGGTACCGATGTACACCGTGAAAAGTCAAAAACCCATTTGCCATTTTTCTCCACCAACATTATACTAGTCTTAATCATTCTTTTTCCCAAAAGATGTATTTTGGAAAAGTTATTAATTAGGTTACCATCTTTCTGATATTTCAATACAACCAATCTCGTGATAGCATCTTGTGTTGTTGTCAGATCCTACAAAAATAAACATTTTAGTAAACATTCTTTCGTGATATTAAAAATTAGAATTGACTCTACGCGTTCAAGTAACCCTCCATGTAAAAATGGCAATGTACGATTTACAAAGGTACACTTGAAACCTTTTCCTTATCAGTAACGTGAAGGATATTGTCGTTTTTCTAGGTTTAGAATTCTTTAACTTCTCTATCTTTGACTGCAGTTGAAATGCACAAGTCACTTTGTTAATCGGACATTGCCATCTTTGCATAAAGGGTCACATGAAATTACGCTTACTGTCCCTTTAAGGGACCGGGATAAAACAATTAAATCAACCATGAACTTTGTTCTTAAGCCACCTTTGGGTTAAGTTGATATTGGCACGGTGGTACAAAAAAAGTAGTTAAGCGAGCCGTGTCAATTCAACCACCTCTCTCTCTCATAAATTCATAAATTCTGACAATTAAACCTGTAATTCTTGTAGTATAGCTCTTTTTCTTAAAGATAGGTTTGACCTTTGGATATTAAAAAATATTTACAAAGATTGTTTTACAATGTACACTGTACATCAAGATTAACGTAACACTTTCCACTAGAACCCACTTTTGTTATTATTGTAGTACGCACCGCAAGCTTAGGGTGAGTTCTTTATATTAAGTTGTAACTAAATGTAAAATAATTATCTCTCATGTCGATTTGATCTAGTTATATCTGTATATTAAAAAATATTTTGGATTCATGATTAAATTAAAATTTTATATTTAAACAATTCAAAATCAGCCAGGCCAACGTTAGATTAGTTTAAAACAGATAAGTCTTCTTCTTCACTTCTGTAATTACAATATGATTGTAAAATATAAATGTACTTATTTTGGATAAAAGTTTTACAATGCAATTTACAATGTAAAAGTTTTTATGAAAGCTATTTTATGCATAATGTATATTTAATATATTATTCACTCTGGACCGTAGTAAATTTTAATTCGAACAGGACCTGCCCAGTTTGTACCGGCCTGCCAGATAACAGCGTGTACTGACCCGATCCTATGGTACAGTACGTCGCCCTATCCAGACTAACATACGATAGAGGTCAATTTTCTTGGCCTAGTCCCGTCGAAGGGCTAACTATGACATCTCCAATGGCTCGTTCAGACTTTTAACAGTACCCGGCCTAATCCTAGGCCTATTTGACCGACCCCACTGGCCTAGTACACCGTGTATTATCATGAATGAATTGATTAGGTTAAAGCTAATAGATAACAGATAATGATGCTGATCATCATTATCTAAATATATATTTTCATGTTTACAGTGTAATCCTAGCATAATGGATTCCGCCATATTTTGGACATGTTCCATAATTGTGTGATGTATAAGATTTACAATAATCGATGATTAAATACACAGATTTGTCAGAGCAAATATTTGTTTTCTTTGGTAGAGTCAAAATCAGATCCAAAAACATCAACGAGTTCTTTCCTAAAGCCATTTTCCAAGGGCTTGCAAGGGAAATGCAGAAGTTAGGTAAAGACGGGTTTGGGTTTCTAGGTTAGGTCGAGAATTTGCTATGCCACGCACTGCAACTAACAGGATGCGCATATGGATCCGAGCGCCACAGTTATTTGAATCTAGATATTAGGTAAAACTTTCCCCAATGGCCACTTTCTAAATGTTAAAGAAATTGAGTCTTTGCCACATTCTCTGATTTTATAATCCCTATATCTTTGGAACCCAATGTCGTAAATCTTTGATATTTTAAACTTATATTATTTTATATAACAAAATTCATAGCTTGAAATATCTAAGATCTATGACATTGGAATCCAAAGATATAGGATTTAGAAAAGCAGAGTGTGTGGCAAGGACTCAATTCCTTTAACATTTAGAAAGTGGCCATTGGGGAAAGTTTTACCTAATATCATAGCAATAGTTTTCTTCTAGATCTATCGTGTTCTGTTCTCTATAAATCTATAGACACGACATGATTTGTATAAATAACATTGTATTAGTAACATCATGCCAACTCTAGTTATACACTTATATTTATTTTATCCTATATATGTATACATTGTGTACAGTGTAAATTGTACAAGGAATACAAGGGTGATATTGTATTCTAGGATTGAAAGGGTGATATTGTATTCTAGGATTGAAAAGGTGATATTGTATTCTAGGATTGAAAGGGTGATATTGTATTCTAGGATTGAAAGGGTGATATTGTATTCTAGGATTGAAAAGGTGATATTGTATTCTAGGATTGAAAGGATGATATTGTATTCTAGAACAGAAAAAGGTATATTGTATTCTAGAAATGAATAATTGATATTGTATTCTGCAATGTTTGGTATTGATGTAAAACTATTAACACAAACTTGAGACTGACTTGAGTCACGGCAACTTAACATTCTCTTATATTTTCCTTTTTATATTTATTTGCACTAAAACCTACCAAATAAATAGAAAAAATTTCAAGCATTTTTTTATATTTAACGACTATTTCATTTATACATATTAAATACCTATTTAAACATAAGCATCATGCATATATAATACTTTTATCAATTCGTTTTTGTGATAAACTTAAATAAGCATTTCCTTTTTTTGCTAAAATATTGTGTACAATTTTTTATCTTCTAAATACAATCTACAATAATGCTACAATTTTGAGCAAATTATATTTTAGAAAATTATATAGTATAGTTGCTGAAAGCACTTTTTTACTTTTTTCGGACAGAGTTTTTGGTTTTAAAAGATATGGAAACTTTAAATAAAATAAATTTAATTAAAAAGATATGGAAACTTTAAATAAAATGAATTTAATTAAAAGATATGGAAACTTTAAATAAAATGAATTTAATTAAAAAAGAAACTTTAAAAATCACATCAAATGATATCGAATGAAGAAAACTTACCAAATCAAATGAGAACCCTTTACTATTATTATGAAAATCTATTGGAGCAAGAATATTTGGAGCAGAACTCATATTTTTTCAAAAATTTTAAATCAATCTAGCTGTTTCCATATCTCAGCTTTAAATACATAGAATATTTTAATATTTCAATACTTTAATATTTCAATATTTCGATATTTCAATTTTTAATATTTCTGAATCATCTTGACGAACTCGTCGTAATCAATCTCTCCGTCCCCGTCATCAACAGCAGCAACCATGTCATCAACCAGCTCGTTCATCTCTACAACAAGGAGTTCAAGATTAATGGGACTGGAGACATAATTTCAGTTGACCCTAGACTTAAAGAGTTTGCTACATAAAGAAGCCTAATTCAAAGCAGTAAAAATTGATAAACTTAATTGTGGGTTCTCTATAAAAGAGACTTGCCGATGAAAAGTTCTACTTTAAAATAAAAAATTAAGTTTATAATGTTTATTTACCTTGTCTTGTTAAATCTCCCTTAGGTAAACTCTGCATTATAAACCGGAAGTGTTCAATGGATATAGTAGATTCCTAAACATACAGTTTATAAACCGGAAGTGTTCAATGAATATAGTAGATTCCTAAACATACAGTTCATGAACCGGAAGTTTTTAATGAATATAGTAGATTCCTAAACATACAGTTCATGAACTGGAAGTGTTCAATGGATATAGTAGATTCCTAAGCATATAGTTCATGAACCGGAAGTGTTCAATGGGTATAGTAGATTCCTAAACATAAAGTTCATGAACCGGAAGTGTTCAATGAATAAAGTAGATTTCTAAACATACACTTCATGAATCGGAAGTGTTCAATGAATATAGTAGATTCCTAAACATACACTTCATGAACCGGAAGTGTTCTATTGATACAGTAGATTGCTAAACATACATTTCATGAACCGGAAGTGTTCAATGGATATAGTAGATTCCTAAACATACATTTCATGAACCGGAAGTGTTCAATGAATAAAGTAGATTCCTAAACATACAGTCCATGAACCGGAAGTGTTTAATGGATAAAGTATGTATTTATGTAAACAACCAAGGAAGAGGGTCGGAATCTCCCTTAGGTAAACTCTGCATTATAAACCGGAAGTGTTCAATGGATATAGTAGATTCCTAAACATACAGTTTATAAACCGGAAGTGTTCAATAAATACAGTAGATTCCTAAACATACAGTTTATGAACTGCAAGTGTTCAATGGATAAAGTAGATTCCTAAACATACAGTTCATAAATCGGAAGTGTTCAATGGATATAGTAGATTCCTAAACAATCAGTTCATGAACTGGAAGTGTTCAATGAATAAAGTAGATTCCTAAGCATACAGTTTATGAACCGAAAGTGTTCAATGGATAAAGTAGATTCCTAAACATACAGTTCATACATCGGAAGTGTTCAATGGATATAGTAGATTCCTAAACATACAGTTTATGAACCGGAAGTGTTCAATGGATATTGTAGATTCCTAAACATACAGTTTATAAACCGGGAGTGTTCAATGAATATAGTAGATTTCTAAACATACAGTTCATAAACCTGAAGTGTTCAATAGATAAAGTAGATTCCTAAACATACAGTTCATGAACCGGAAGTATTCAATAGATAAAGTAGATTCCTAAACATACAGTTCATGAACTGGAAATGTTCAATAGATAAAGTAGATTCCTAAACATACACTTCATGAACCGGAAGAGTTCAATATATAAAGTAGATTCCTAAACATACAATTCATGAACTGGAAGTGTTCAATGGATATAGTAGATTCCTAAACATACAGTTCATGAACCGGAAGTGTTCAATGAATAAAGTAGATTTCTAAACATACACTTCATGAACCGGAAGTATTCAATATATAAAGTAGATTCATAAACATACAGTTCATGAACCGGAAGTGTTTAATGAATATAGTAGATTCCTAAACGTACAGTTCATGAACCGGAAGTGTTCAATGGGTATAGTAGATTCCTAAACATACAGTTCATGAACCGGAAGTGTTCAATGAATAAAGTAGATTTCTAAACATACACTTCATGAACCGGAAGTGTTCAATGAATAAAGTAGATTCCTAAACATACA